ATACCCTGGTACACTACCCTGTTTACTGTAGCACGTCATATCATAAGTACTCTAACTCGTGCATCTGCTTTAATTTTGTCGTACAGAACCATAGAAACGATGAAACAACCATCTGGTTGCATACCTTTAAATGGAATAGTATCCCACTTTTTCAAATTATATTCCATCTTTTCGTAGCTAATATCTTCGTTGCTGTCGAAGGCAGTCGGGATGGGAGGATAAATGCCTCGCAGATTAAGCTTCTGTTGCGTCGACATGGTGCGGAGAATGACTCTAAATCCGTCTGATTTTGGACTAAGTTTGCCCAAATAAGCTTTTACGAAGGGCCGCAAGGACAGTGAAGAGAATGGGTTTAATTTCACCGCCATTCAATTAGTGTTGTTTTGCAAAGCCCTGCAACGTCCCTGGAAGTGTCTTATTTTACTTCCGGAAAAAGCTCCGAAGAATATTTTTCGATGTGCATTTGTATGATAGCCTTTGGTAATTGAAAGATTAAGAAATAGCTGGAAGAATACCTGATTCATTCCTTATTTTTATACATTATCTGATTTGCTAACAATTTGAGAAATTGTTGAAGAGTAACATTTCTTCAAGTCACTCGCGGAAGGATACAAGGTAGACAGTTAAGGCCGACATAAAGGCATTCCGCGAAGTCGTGTTTACGTGTTGGCACGAAATATGAAACTTTGAAGGTAATTAGATTTCACATGTTACTGTCACTGTCGCAGGGAATTAGAATTTGATTTCTTCTGTCTAGAAATCAACCCTTTATTGTTTACTTAGTACTAAACTGACGAGATTTATATCATGGTTTTACCTGCAAATCACTAAGTTATTGGTGGCAATGCCCATGCAAAATATTGCAAAACTACATGTATATTTCTGCATGTTGTAATATTAATAGGTTTCACTTTCCATTTTCAGGTTAATTTTATATACTTCTATCGAACTTTCCTTTGTTTCAGGTTCCCTCTCTGTTGCTCATGATATTACATGGTGAAATAGTGGTACATTTCCTAAGATGGAAAAACAACCGTTACAGCAGAAGAAAAGCCCACTAAAAAAAGATGACCACAACCGTCAAAACGAAAGTAATTCCACAGGTGTAGCTATTCCTGGAGATCAGACCTCCACACATATAGAAGAAAAAAATTCACCAGCAGAAGAAAGTGGTCTTAATGTTTTACACACAAGTGCAGAGAATATCACACCAACTAGTAACAGTTCCATAGTGACAGTATTATCTGACCTTGGCACCACAGACCTCAACTTTGAGGTACCCACAGAGGTTTTACAGACAGCTCAACTCTTGACAGAGTTTTCCTCCCAACCAGCTGCTGCCTCAAGTGATTTGCAAGATCATATACAGTTTACTAACAGTGCTTATCAACATGAACCTAATCAAACTGTGGAGTCACTATTACAGTCTCACTCAAAGCAGGTGGTCATAGTGAATCCTGGTAGAAGTTCAGTCGAGACCACTACAGGCATTGCCACTGAGAGCAATTCCCTGAATGATGCAAATAGGCAAACAGTGTTCATAATCAATAATGATGGTACAATGTCAACAGCCCGTAGGTGGGGGACTTATCTGTGTGAAAGCAATGGTGAAAGTAGCACAGAGAATGATGCCTTACCACAACCTAATGTGGTAGTTGTGACCAACCCTGGTGCTGAGCAACACAATGCTGATGGAACACCCACTACAGCCACCACCACCACCTCCATACAACAGAACTTCTCCAACCTCACTAAATTGCTGGTCCCAGTTGATTCTGTAGTTCTTAGGAATATTGCACCAAAGTCAGAAAGTAATGAGGAGGATAGCATTGCCCATCAAGTTGATCAAGCAAATCATATAACAGATGGAAATGTAAAGGAGCTAGTTCAGGTCTCAGACCCTCATCTTCTTCCCCCACCCCCAGGACCAATATTGTTTCAGGTTATGAAAGATGATGGGACTGTCCAAAGTGTTAATATCAATCCGGTTGATCAGCTACAGGAACAAACAGAGAGCTCAGCAACAGCAGCAGATCCTGGGGGTCAAATAGTTTATGAGCCAAAGAAGCCATTTAAGTGTGAACTCTGTAGTGCCTCTTTTACTTTACTTGGGAATCTGAACAGGCATAGGATGATTCATTCTATTAATGCCAAGGTTAGATAATGGGTGTTTCTTGTGTCTGAAGCAATTGAGTGGAATTTTTGTTATTTTTTATTTTATAGTCTTGATAGGAAAAAATACAAGCATATGAAGTGTGCACCTTAGAAATAAAATTTTTTTTAGAAAAAATTATGAAAGTTGAAAAAGTATTTGAAAAATATCAATTGAATATCAGTTTTTTTTTTCTTACAACTTTTTCTTTCCACTTCATTTTGAAATTTTGATTCCAGTTTACAGTCTAATAATGTATTATTAACTCTTCAAATTTGATTTTCAGGAAGAATGTCGTTTCAAGTGCAACGAGTGTGGCCGCTTTTTTCTGCAGCGTTGTGACTTGATAAGACACACAGATATCCACAATAAGACTGAACCATACAAGTGTGAGATATGTGGAAAAGGTTTGTTTTGTGAATACACCAAACAATATTTTTTCATGTTCTAAAGGGTTTTAGCCAAAGAGCCATCTTCTCATCTTTTGGATGGGTAGTTGTAGGAAATTTGGTTTAAATTAACTAATTTAATTTTACAGATTGAAATATTAATTTCAAAACTTTTGTTAATTTCAGGAAGTGTTAATATTTCAAATGTAACCCCAAGGTAACCCTAAGAGGATTCTACGTCTGGGATTCAAATTGCAAGAAATGCTGAAGATTATACCTCTGTTATGAAAAAGTGTTATTGTTTAATTTTTACATTGTATTGACACTTCAGGCTACATAAGACGCAGTGACCTGGTTGTACATACACGCTTTCACAAGAGAGAGAAGCATTGCCAGTGCACTTATTGTGGCAAGACTTATTACCAATCAGGTACAAGTACAAGCAATTGTTCAGTTATACTTATACAACTGTCCATACATATTGTTCAGAGATTGCCAGTTAAGTCTAAAGGCATGTCAAAATTACCAGTATTTTTGAGGGGAAGGCGAGTTCACTATTTCACAATCATTTATTTGTTAGCTCTGCACGTTGATGTGCTCAAGATCTTATTGTATAATTCAAGTTCAGGGTAATAGAATGACTGGCAGAAGTCCTTGACTTCTGTTTCGGTGATCACTCCAATTGTGAACATAAAGATACCTAAGATTCCCATTTTTGCAGTTGTTTTATTTTGGTAATCCTAATTTCCATTTTCAGGAGACCTTAATCGGCATATACGCAGTGTACATCTGCAGTATAAAATGTTGACTTGTGGACATTGTAAGAAAAAGTTTACCAAAGAGGCCACTCTTATGAGACACATGCAGGCTAACCATAGAGACATAATACTGCAATCAGTGGACCAATTATCAACCCAGACAGACAGGTATACAAATACACATCTTGTTTTTATATAACAGTGTGAAGACTACTTTTAAAGGAATTTCGGAATTGCAAAAAGTCAACAACCAGCTATAATTATTCTAACAGATAAAACAAGATTTCACAAAAAGTAAATGCAGTCTGCTGTGAAAAATTAGGAAATAGCACATGGACATACTCACACACATACCAATTACATTTGACTTGGAGAATTTGACAGTAAAATCTGATTTACCATTTTATTATGAGCTTGTAGTGCTTCTCGCAACGTTTTTTAAAAAGATTTTATTGCGTAGTGAAATGGTGACTGGGAGTATATTTTATTTTCATTTTCTATTTCAGAAGTGAGCATGAAAATTCAGTCTCTGAGCCAGATGACTGCCCTATTACAGAAGACACAGACGCACAATCAAAAATGGAACAGAGTAGTCAGTGACTGATGAGCAACAGGAGCTGACATGTGCTTCTACCAAAACACTTCTCGCTTTTATTGAAAGAAAGTACTCAACAAAAATGATATCCAGGTTCTGTAAGGTGCAAGTTTTTGAAATAAAAAGTATGTTTGCCATTGTCAAGTGGTTTGCTGGAACCAGACATTTACAGGGTTATATTTTGTATCTTAACAGGCACCACCTAGATGGAACAGGGTCTTTTTTAGACTAGAAATTTAGGGAGATCAGTTTTGAACACATCATCATTATGATAGTGATAATGTTGATTTACAGGGTCTAAATACTATGTGCAGCAGTGGTCTTCGTGAATCCTGATGGTAAAATATTCATTTGTATGTTTACATATATATTATATGAAACAAATCATGGCCTGAACGAATTAGACAAGAACAATGAATCATGCAGTGACTATTTGTGATGGGTGCTTTATTGAAATATTTACTGTTACTTTGAAGATAATAGTGCTTACAGAATATATTTAACAAATATATCTCTAAAATTACGATAATACATGATTTTTATTTAATTTGAATCCGACAGCTAAATATCCAGTATTAAAAATCATTTGATTTTTTTTACATCACTTTAATTAATTTTTTGTTATGGATGCATCATGTGGGATAAATGTTCTATGGAACATATATTAACTTATGTTTTCTACTCAAAACTCAGAAATGAAGAAGTAATAATGAAAAGTGAGACAACATTACATTACAACATTACATAGAATTCAGACAAAATCTAAAAATGCAGCATGTCACTTGTCAGAGATGTGTACAACAGAGCCTGTTAAATATTTTGAAGACACAGCATTTGGAAATTCTGTTCTGCAAACTGCAGTGCCAGGCACAGACTGCTGGTGGCTGTTACCAATTAAAATTTGCCTTTTCTCCCAAGCTGTGTCAGTGTCCATACACTGAAGTAGTTCAACTTTCCTGATGCTTTTATCAAAATTTCCTCTCTGGAACTCGATGTAAGTTACTTCTGCATGGTTTCCAAAAGGTACCTAAAATGTCAGTAAACTTATCATTTCATACCTGGTCAACTTAATTTATTGCTTTGAGAGAAATTTTAATTAATAATCCTTCATCACAATTAATGCAACAGACCACAGTTTTTCTTTTTATGAGAATTTAAAAACATTTTGTTTAATGACAAATTTTCAAATGGGGTCATTTTAAAGGCACCCTGTCCTTCAGTGGATTATTAAGATTTCATTCTAGTCTTTTCACCAAGTATGTTCAGACCAGAGTTGCTGTGGATCATAAATAGACTTATGAGTAACTCACACTATCGAACAACGTGAATGGACCCAATGAAAGATACGTGTTCAATAAAAACACATACCATTCTCCTCTTGCCTGTGCTGCCTCCTTTCTCACCAGTCTCTTTTTGTCGTCCAAAGGATGCGCCAGTTCTCTGACCACTGTCTTCTGGTGTGGAGTGGTCAAGTGCTGGGGCAGGGTGGTCATCATGCCTAGACACTGCAGGGCTGCTATACGCACTTTCTGGAATAACAATAATTATTGCATTAAACAGAGTTGAACACTGACATACTGGTACAAAGAGAAACAGAACTGGACAAAAAAATGATACCTTTGTTTGAAAATTTCAGTATGTCTAATATCTCAAAAAATTTCAAAACACACACACAAATATATTCTTCCTTCAAACTGAGATTGTCAAGTTTCAATAAGTGACAGAAACTGTAAACCAGAAAAATTCTTAGGAAATAAAACTTTCAAACATATATTTATATATCTTAATATTAAGGTGCACCATTCAGTTTAAAATGTACCAAGTGTATCAACCTACCATTGATGGCTCATATCTAGAAAGCTTCAGAAACTTAGGTATCAGAGTATCTAAGTATTCCCCCAGGATAAGTGGTGCATCATGCATCAGATCATACATTGTGGTCATTGTGGACAGCTGTAAACTGACCTCTTCTATCAACAAGGACTGGACTAGGAGGGGGACAAGCTAGAAGAAAAGGGCAGACAAAAACATATGGGTACTTATTTCTACAGACTGAAATAACCTGACATTATAAGTTTGTTTTTCACTCAGGAATACAAAATTCATACTTTGATACAGTCTACAGATGAGTTGTTGTGACATTTAAAGAACAAGCAAAGTTAACACTTTTTTAAACACTTATAAAAACTGAGTACATTATTAATCAGCAATCAATTTCTCTTTACACTAACAATGCTTTTTTCTTACTTACTGGGGGTAATTCACTCAGCAAGACTTGCTTCGGGACAAATCTCAGCAAGTATGACAAAGCTGTTAGGTAAAACTGCTTTCTGTCTGATATGAAAATGACAATTAAATTAGATTTGGATTTACAAAATTCTAATTCATCTGCATGTTTAGACTTAAACATAATATTTTTCAACCATGTACACTTTTCTTAATTTGTCCATAGCAATTCAAAACCACACATTTTTGACTGCAACAATTAATTGAACAATGATTAACAAAAACTACAATTATTCATTTTAAGATAAACTAATTAAATAAATGACGTCCTTACCTGCAATGGTTGAATTAAAACCTTGAATAAGTCCAGGTAATGTAAGGTGAAAGAAGCGTTGTTTGTAAAGTGGTCTGATGATTGCGTGCATGTGTTTTGTCATCACATCATCAAACTCTGCCATAACTATGTAGAACCCATCTGCTGCCAATTTGTTCAAGTTAGAATTTTCAAAAAAGGTCATCATCTGAAAGAGATCTTAATTTTTCAAAAAAAAAAAAGTAAAAAGTTCTTGGAATATTTTTAATCTAAATCTAATCTAAATCACACCTGTATGTGTAATATTCTTCACAGATGTCTAGAACAAAAGCCTTATCGAAATAGAATATTAACCATTTCAAAGTTATTCCATAACAATATGCATGATTGCCTTTTTATAAAAAGAATAGACATGAATGTTCAGAAATATTTCAGTTTGCTTTTGTGAAAAGAAAAAAAAAGAAATTTACTTTTTCAACAAACTTTCCAGAAATGGGGTGACCTCTGAGTACCAGTGCCTTGGTGACCCACTGCCATACAAGTGCTGCTCCCTGGTGTTGTCCACTCTCAACTCCTGTGTTCAGCAAAGTCTCCAGCTTCTGCTTCAAAGATTCAAGATAAGAATCCAATTCTGTGCCTGTAATAAAAAGTTCATCTAAAAACATTTTCAACTGTTCAAACGTCAAATGTTCAATATATTTCTATCCTATTGTTTGTAGAGATGTTAATTCATGTATAAATGACAATATAATAAAAAGAAAAAAAAATAGTGATATTTATCAAACAGTAATGAAGTTATCCCTATAAAGATATTCAAGGTCTATTAAATACCAAACATACCAATGCATATAAAATGAGATACCTTGTGGAGCTTTGTTGATGAGCCCTGCTAAACATTTCACTGTCCCCAGCTGAGACAATGAATGTGATAACTGTAGAGTGAGATTAACCAACATATCCAATAGGCTGTATAAGGAAGGAACCAAAACCTGGAAATAAACAACATCATGTATACATATAAAGGTATACAATACATCCTTAAGTGGAGTCTTTTATTAATATCAAACATTTTCAAATGCAATATGATACCAATTCAAGAGGGTTGAACTCCCAAGATGAATGAGTATGTACCGTATGTCTCTTTCACACACAGTACACATAAATAATATGTGAACTGAGTAACTTCATACCTTAGCTCTCTTTTCCTAAATGTGCCCATAAAATATAGACCAGGGGTGGAGCTTGCTTGTGCTCCGATTTGGTGAACCTTCCAATGCACACTAAAATCGGGGCATAAGTAAACTCAGCACTGTTATATTTCATGGGCACATTTGGGATAAAGAAAGCCCAGATATTTAGTTACTGGATTCACTTATTATTTTCAGCACAATGTGTGAATGAGAAAATGTCAGGGTTATCAATGAACTTCCATCTTGGGAGTTCAACCTCCTTCCAACAGAAAGAAAAAAGGAACTCAATTTAAATCAGTCATACAAAAAAGCAAGTTAAAAACTTAGTTGCAATAAGTCAGAATAGTTACTTGAATTTTACCCAAACTTACATTTTGATGAAGTGCACATATAACTGCCAAAAAGACATGCAGTGCCTGGGTCTGTTGCCAAGGTGATGAAGCCTACAAAATATAATTTTGTGTCAAATGTGAATTAAACATACTAACTTGTATTTACAAATATCTGATGATTAAAGAAGATGATAACAAAATCTGGCATACAGTAAGAAAATCTGACAGGAAGATCCAGTAATTTCTCAGAAATTGCCTTTGAATATACTTGAAAATGTTTGCCATACTTTAATTGTGTACTTAGCATTCAGACTACACGTGAAAGAAGAGGCACCTGTAATGGTTTAAATGCTCCCTCAGCCTCTGCTCCACCTAACCACAAATGGGACTGCCCTTCAACATATACTGCAAGTACATTTTTAACCATCTCCTCTCCCTGCCTAGTGAATAAAAGCATAAGTTGTGCAAGTCAATCTTTATGCATATCTGAAAGTGTATCTACATTATTAACTTAAATGCTTTCATAATAACCACATACACCAATTCAGATCCAGTTCTATCAACAACAAATCTGTTTAGAATGAGCACAGCAATATTTCATCTTAAGCTTCAACAAGACTACAACATCAATATGAAATTATTTTTATCATGTCAGACTTTATGACAGACATCATGATCATGAAAACATCTCTCAGGCTCTAAAGCAACAATTGAATGCTTATAAATTCATTGAAACCAATATCCCCAAATCCTACCTCTGTGATAAATGCTGACATATAGTTCTGATGACACTGCATAATTTCAGTAAAATGTCCTGTTTCCAAAGAACATGTTCAGTCCTGCTTAAATAATTAATAAAACTTTGCAGTGATATCTTCAGCAGCTTTTGTAACAGGTGTTCATAAAAAAAGTCTAAATTTTCTTTTTCCTGGACAGAAGATTGCACAATGTTTGCTATGCAGTTCAAGCATAATTCAGCCTCAGAGTAATCAGTCTCTGGTCCTGAAAAAAACATTTAATCAAAGATATTTTACTCTTACAAAAAAATGGACAAAATGTTGCTATTGCTTGCGAATAAAATCCTACATTTCTTCAAAAGATATCCATTTTGCAATGAAATTTCAATAATCTGTGTATTGCAAGATACGGAATAATCATTATAAACTGCCATTAATATGAATGAAATTTATCAGCAGTTACAAAATCCTTATCAGTGTATGAAATTCAAGGAAATTACTAGCCAGACCGCCGGGCAGGTAATTCTGAAAAGTTACCAGCCCGGCCATGTAGTTACCTGCCCTAGTTATGATAACCCCTAGAGTTAAGACAGGTATGCTGAGGGGGTCTAGAATGCATTCTTGGGAGAGTAATTTGGAAATGAAAGGGCAATATCATGCCTTATGCATGGAAATTTAGAAATTGGTTGGAATTTCTACTGAATGATACCTTGTCAGTGTTGGATTAAGAGGGGGTCAGGGGGCTCCTGACGCCCCCCCTTTTAATTTCTGTAAATAAACCTCACCTCTTGAAATAAGACTTTCACTAGTTGAATCATAGTTCTAAACCATACCAAATGGCACCATTTNAGGCGGCCATTTCATACAATGTCCTTATTATTTATTATAATAACTAAAAAAGCCAAATTAAATGAAAATGAAAAAAAAATTACTGTTTGTCAAATCCTCCAGTTGCTGATACAAGATGGGTACTGTTTCTTGTATTATGTCCTTATGTACTGATATGGCAGCCAGGGTATTGAGTAAATATCCACTTGACAAATGAGGACTGCTCTGGTCTGTTTCCATGAAATCTTTTGAAAAGCATAATTTAATGGAATAACTGATCCAGTGTGTACTTAAAGTCATGTGTGGTGTGAAAATCAAAAAGTGCAAAAGAGCACTGACATAAATGGTAGATTTTAAAATCATTCAATACATTTGTGTAAACTTTTTTGCTCATTAGGAATATGTTAATGAAAATATTTCAAATCACTTCACTTTTCTCAATTTTAAAGCTTTCTTCAGAATTTTTTTTAATTCAAATGAGAAAAATATATCTCCCTTGTTTGTTTCAAGACATTCTGAAAGAACAATTTTGAGAGCAAAACTCACCTGTTTTTAGATATTCAACTAATTTAGGTAATACAATTTTACAGGCTATCCATGTCAATTCTGAGCTCATAAATGTTAAGGCTGTAGTGGCTTCTGTTCTGTAAAGCAAATTAAAGAGGCATCAATAATCCCTTTTAGAATCAATACCAAAAACAGTTTGTTTTCTAATTCATAAAATTATAATCAATTTAAGATGGCTTTTTCTGACCTTTTTAAATATAAAATTACCCATGTCTATTTTCTGCATACATATATTTTTGAACTGCAGTATAAACGTATACATAAAATGTTTATATCAGTGCATTTGTCCTTGCTTAATATCATCATAGGAAATTTGTCAACAACAACAAAAAAAAACACTCTATAACCTGCTTTACATGTTAAATGCAGGTGCATTTTTATGAGTGTGTCACTAACCTAACAGATGAATCTTTATCCTCTAGCACAAGCTTCAACATGTGTTCTGCTGCCAGACATTGCTCCTCCTCAGATGTGACCCCAGTCAAGGTCAACATCCCCACAATGCCAGTCAACCCAGCACAACGTAACAGAAAATTTGTTTCACTCAATAAGGAAAACAGCACTGTCATTATGGCATCTTTGTACTCAGCAACAGGATTTTTCTCTGAAACATAACAGATTAGATAATAAATAACTTCCTATATAGATCAACACTCATAATAATTGTCCAAATATGTCAACATTTTTATTAACAATTTTAGCACAATTATTAGTTGTTTATATCATATGGCAAAGCAAACCTGCTTTATGAAATATCTTTTCCAATCAAATTTGCACATTTTAAAATAAAAATGTAAACAACGGCATACAATTAAGATCAATATATCAAATATCACCATTTCCCTATTCTCATTTCTCATGTAATGAAAAAGTGAAATCATAATAAAAGCAATCTACTACCATCTGAGCCATTAAACCTCTTGGAAATCTTGATAAAACCCAGCAGCACATCGAGTACAGACCTCCGATTCAGCACCTATAAAATTTTATGTTTATTTTAAGATTAAAAAATGTTCATTATTCTCTAAACTTGTAAACTTGTTAGAAAACAATTGTTGAGAGAGAAACATCAAGTCCAAAATTACATTCAAACCAAGATAAATGAAAAAAATTCTCTGAATATTTCTACAAAGGTATTCTTAATATGTAAAATGCAGCACCTGGGTTCTGATAAAAGAAATGACTAAATTCTACATTGATCTATAATATTTGTAATTTATAGACTTAAAAACAGTTTCAGACAAAAGGACAACTTATCCAAACTTAAAAAGAAAAAAATATGAAGTGCTTTCATTTTGATGATCTGACCTGAGTATGTTTATGAAATTGTTCCAGTAATAAAGGTATGATCTCCCTCAGTATAATACAGCAAGCCTGGTCTGACCCTGCTGCAGCTGCCTGGAGTAGTTTCCCACTCGGGTACATTAACTTCAGCTCTGGCTGTGTCAGGTGGTGTCTACAGTCTAAAACAATACAACATAACATTATATCCCAATTTCATATATTTTAATTAGCATGTCTAACATTGTAAAATCCTTCTTTATTAAAGCAACAATTTAGTTATAAAAACAAATTAGTGAATGGTTTGCAGTATTTAATAAACAGAGCAAAGATATTAGAAGTGGTGTTTTTAAAATGATAATAAGTACATATTTCCACATTTTACTGTTCTTACCTTTGATGATGTCCTTCAAAAACCCATCTAGTAATGTTTCTGAGTTTTTCTGAAAGAGCAAAACCAGTAAGTGTTCACCTTGTGCAGTCAAGTTATTAGAACCTTTCAAAACATAAATGGTATAACAGGGGATGGATATTCCACATTTCAAAATGTTCAGTGAACCAGTGACTAAATGAAAATACAGTTTATGGCTTCTACACATGCAGATTAAAAGATTTAAAACAATGTTTTTTTACTATAGAGGTGTGTGTTACTGACCTGCTGGACACCAGTAGAGAGAACTGAAACCACAGCTGTAAGAGCACTCAGTGCAGCACCTTCCACCATTTCACTGACACCTGACAGCACCTTCAAGTAGAGATGAATGCATTTTAAGTATCACAAAACAATTATAATGCAGTGCAAACATTCAATGCAATGTATATTATAAGTTTCATAACAATTATTATAATACCTTTGCTTAGCCATAGGAGACACCGACTTGTGATGAGCATACAGCAGACTAGCTATCTTTAACATTGGTAAGTGTATGAAAATTATTTTAGCTATGGTTGCTAAAGTAATCAAATAATCATAAATTGTGGTCTCTTTTAATGTATGACATGCACACACAAATGCACATTCACATGTGTCCATAGATATTACAATTCTGCAACAGTATAATTTCTGATCACTGGCAAAAATTAAAGTATATTGTAAGTCAAATACAATGTCATACCTCTCTCTTCATACACATAAAAAGAGAACTTAGGAATTCTTGGAAATCTTTGGCAGCATAGGTTTCTGTACATTTTGCCTGCAATAAAAATGAATTTGTAATTATATCAGATACAAAATATACTGAACAAAAATATAAACGCACGAAAGAATATGTAGATTTATTTTCATATATGGAACTAGAGTATATAGCCAAAAATAACAGCATATTTTTCTCGACAAATAGACATCACTTTGAGAGCATTAGGGAAAGTTTAAATGCATAGTCCAAGAGTTAGAGCATCAAATACACCATGGGGGTCAACATCCTGAGTTCACAGACACCATTAAATTTGTGCAGAGCAGTACACCAGCGGTGCATGGACATCACTAAGTTGTCAATAGAGGCCTAAGGGATATTATTCCATTCCTCCTGGAGTGCTACTCTCAGTTGGCGAACATTCTCGAGAGCTGGAACATGATGGCTGAAAACTCTGATCCAGAACATTCCACAGGTGTTTGTTGGGCAACATGGTGCATGAGGGTGGTTCCTAATGCTACCAGTGTCTCTGAAGCGTGTTCCCAGACGGCTGACAGTGGAATGATGCACATTCAGGCATGCTGCAACTTCTGTTACTGACAAGCTAGCATTGAGCATGCTGATGGCATGCTTCCTCATGGTTCCAGACATCTGTGGCATGTTGACAAGTGGCAGAAATACACATTTTGGTGTGTCCTTTTATTGCCTAGACGGTAGAGAGTGTATGTGTATTGGTCTTGCAGATTGACCTCTACTCCGTCATGCCCCATTAGTCTTATGGGTGTAAAAACTGAACCTTTGAGTATACTCACGGGGAGTGGCCAAGTGAAACCAGACCACTATAATTGATCAAAACAAATCCATCAGTTCACAAATAAACCATCAACCTGGGCATATTTCATGATTATCCATTTCAACTGACCATTTTAGTTTCGTGCGTTTATATTTTTGTTCAGAATACATGTTTCAGTAGCCTTTGAAGAATTAACGTACAGTATATTAAAGCATTTCTGTTGTTTTAAAATCTTGTTTAAGTAAACTTTGTCACTACGTGTATACTTGATTGAATCTGAACAGTAGTTTAGACAAAGTTACACTTAAAATTATCATACACACAAGGTGCAAAATACTGCTTTACAAGTACACAAGAAAGATGCAACAAATATTGTTCACTGATGACCATAACCAACTTACTAATGTGTGAAAAGCATCCTTCTTTGCACTCTGTACATCAGAAGTCATCTTCTCAATGAGCAAAGGCAGACAATACTGGGCAAACAGAGGAGTGGCTGCCATGCACCTTTGTAAACCCAACACCAATTCATCCTTAGTAACTCCATGGGGGTCATTTGGAGGCTAGATACAAAAGTTAAAGAAAAAAGTACAAGCTAAGCTATTTTTAACAGAGAGTTTTTGCAAACAATGTATTTTTTTTAATTCAATTTTATTGAGAGTTGTGAAAGTGGTTCATGTCAAGATCTGTAAATATAACATAATATTTTGTTAAGTTTATGAATGTAATGTTATATGACACTGGATGAAACAGGAAGGAAACTGCTTATGTATATTACTCTGTCAAAAATATGTAAAGCACACCAAACTCGCACAACAGAAGACTTAAGTAATAGATCACTTACCGGAGTAAAATCAATGGGAAAATAACAGGAAGTGACTTCAAATAACTCCTCTGCAAACATTCCTTTAATTGGAAAATACCATATATCAAACATAAATCTGTTAGTCACCAATAAGCAACATATGTGCGACATGTTTTTAATAAAAATAATAATGTTAAACAAATCAAAATCTGTTATTTCAGTTATCATAAGTTCAGCAATATAGTTTCATTTCTGTTTTTACTTGGTTCTATTTAAAATGAAGGAAAAATTTTTAAAAAGTTGGAAAAGGCCACTTTTAACTTTTTTAACTAAAAAGGCACTTACCTATAGGAAAGTTCTGCACTATTACAGGAACAATATTGAAGGCAAGGACCAAATTTCGTGGGTCTCGTTCACCATCCATTGTTTGGATGAAGCTATATACAAAGTCTGCTCCCATTGGTTTAAGTTCTGTATTGAAGGTATTCAAAAAGCATAACATAAAATTTCAGCAATGGTCAAATAACACTAAATACTACAAAAATATTGCAAAAAACTGCGAATGAACATTCTTTTAATGAAAGATATTCAATTTGGTAATAGACTTGCTACAGATGGAGCTAACTGCATAGTTAGCAAATACACACAATACGATAGGACAATTACAGAACAATTATCACAAACATTCATTTTACGGTTGCTATGCACACAAGAGCATTGGGGCAGTGTTTTATTTACTACCCATTATACTCACCCTCCATCTTAGTATGAAGTAAATTTATTAGTATACTGTATGCAGATCGCCGGTCTGCTTGAGCCAAAGACTGAACATGCACTTCTTTGGATACTTCCTTCACCATCTGTTGTCCACTACCAGGTGGCAGGTGGGTGAAAGTGGACTAAAATAGAAAACAGTTTAATGCCTTAAAGAAAAAAATCTAAAAAGTTAAGTTAATGTGTATTGCTTGGAATTTCTGCATGGCTGCTACTCTATCACAATTAAAATTGAAACTGCATTCATATCCTTGGGAAGATTTACTGCTTTGATACATACCATAGCAAGTAAACCAAACAGCACATGTGGAGTCACTGAATGATGATCCTTTAATCTATCACTGAAGAAGTTTACCAACAGCTCCACTGAAATGAACAATCACAGTATCATAATCCTGCAAAATCCAGATGCTAAATATAACTTAAAACTTTGCTTGTGAGGCTAATAACTAGAAGTTTGTTAAAACATCATTTACGCTGATGAATTTAAGGAATCAGCAACAAACTTTTTTGAAGAACTGAGAGTGAAACTGCAGGTGAAATACTTTGCCTTTGGATAAATATTAAATGTAATTTATAGTGTTTTTCTAGACTAACATATTTCTTAAGTTGATGATATAAACAACAACAACATTATCTTTAAAACGGTATTCCACATCTCCTTTTGCCTCATCCCCATGTGCAAATCNCTGAGAGTGAAACTGCAGGTGAAATACTTTGCCTTTGGATAAATATTAAATGTAATTTATAGTGTTTTTCTAGACTAACATATTTCTTAAGTTGATGATATAAACATCATCAACATTATCTTTAAAACGGTATTCCACATCTCCTTTTGTCTCATCCCCTTGTGCACATTAAGTTAAAGAGAGTAAAGATGATTTTCAAATGTAATCATCAAAAGCTTTGACTCTTTCTTTTTCTTTCAATAGAATTTTAGTGGAAAAATGACTATTTTAAAATGTGGTAATAAAAATAACATATTTTCTTGAATCATCTCTTTTGTTTTACCTTCCTTTATTGTGAGGAAATCTTTTGGCAACCTGTGCAGAACCTCTCCCAATAGTCGTGTTCCTCTACATCTTACAGCTGTGTCAGCACTGGTTAAGTGAGGACTTGACAAACAGATTGAAACTTTGTTGAATAACAAATGCAAGCTGTTATGTTTAGTATATACATTTGTTTCATCTACACGTACCATTTGAATGCCAATATAGGTCAAACTACTCTTAAAGGTACTGGTATCTTTTTTGCATTGCTCTTTTTCTCACCATTTTTTCCATGCAGATACTGAATATTTTCTGACATAATATCTTAAGAGGAAAAACTTACCCAAGCTTTTCTATTAGTTCAACTAGCTGTATTTCTTTCCCAATAATACCTGAAACATTCAAAGTTTTGTGTGGTTTACATGTTCTTTCACCAATCAAATAGCAAAGGAAGCACCATTCAAATTTGATGTACAACCTTTACATATTCTTTCATTGATCAAATGGCAAAGCAAGCAGCAATAAACAATAAGAAGATGAACGGGCATGTCATAATACAAACCAAGAATGCTCAAAACCAAGTGCATTAAACTGGCTGCACTGAAATATAGAAAGTAGGTAATGTGTGCATAATTACATAAACATTCCAATCATCAATTTTAAAAAGACAATATAAGGGTTTTTAATGGTATTAAGATTCACATTTTCTGTTCCTATTTAAAAAGGAACGGTTGAAAAACAGTATCATGCAAATTTGATGTAGTCAAACCTTTTGAAATGGTGTCAACACCTGTAGCTTGATGTCCATTGACATACACCTCCAACGCGTTGATCCACATGGGCGCTGCCATGTTCTTGCAAGTCTGCACCAGATGCAACTCGAAATTAATTAAATTTGATGAGGTACTGCAAATTTGTCGATATCCAGATTATGGTTCAAGAATATGAAGACTATTAGTTTCAAAGTCAAAATAACGTGACTTAATTATGTAAATACATTATTTTTCTTACACTTCAATGCATATTAACCAATCACGATTCAGTAAGCGGTATCTATGCGGACCTTTTTTAATCTCCTGACGTCATTTTCCCATCTAAGGAAAAAGAAGGAATCCCGAATTTGTTTTTAGTTGGGTACTTCCTTGTAGCCCCTCGGTAATGGGTGGGTGCATGGGTACCTCTCGTGGTGGCTCAGGAAGCACAGGTGATCCAGAGAGTAGCGGTGGACCAAACACGGGTAATTATTTCACATAATGTTTTTTGTTTGTTTACGATGGTGACAAGTCAAGTGTTGACTGTTGTGCGGCGCCTGAAGCTAGCAATCACAAGTATTAATCAGATGCAGGCATAAAATATGAAATGAATAGTACAACGTATTCATTGATGAAGCTTGTAAATGCCTTAAACATCTATATCAAGACCGATTCTGTGCGGCAGTAGATCCATTGCAAACTTAATCATAATTTAATTATCTCGGTCACAGCGTTTCTGAATTGATTACATCATTTAAATCACTTGACAGATAAATTTCCTTGTATGTATAACTAAGCACTCTGCTTAGTACCATTTTTAAATATATGTATATATTTTTGAAGCAAGCTCAAGCTTGAAATATTGCATGTATTGTTTCTCCTACATAAACAGCAACACTGTATAACTTCCAACATTTGCAAACATCGGTTCATTTGTGCTGTCTTGTTCACTGAAAAGGAAACATTTCTTTATTTATTTGTATTAATTATGATTATTTTTTTTACCATTATCACAATTATTATTTCTTTTAATTTATTATCATCATGTTTTAATATTATATCTTTTTGCCGAAATGTGTAATAGCAATGAATTGTTTGACTTAATAAGTGTCACCTTATTTTTTCAGTGTCAGTCGGGCGCAATCAGCCTCTCAAGTCTGATAAACAAAAATGGAAAAGTGACATTCCTTTGACAGAGGGCCAGTTACGAAGTAAGAGAGATGAGTTCTGGGACACTGCTCCAGCATTTGAAGGCCGTAAAGAGATTTGGGATGCACTGAAAGCTGCTGCCTATGCATTAGAGACTGGAGATCATACTTTGGCACAAGCTATTGTGGATGGAGCCAGCATTTCTCTCCCTAATGGTGAGTTTCAGCATGACATATTTGTTGTTGCACATGAGAAAAAGAGTTGTTTTAGATTTACTTAGCGTCCCATATTTAGGCTAGGTAGGATTGAATTAAATCCATAGGGCCTAAATATTGGACACTGAAGGGAGAAATGATTATATTAATTGTGATAATATGATTTACCTTTTAAGAGTCGCCTCAATTCATCTGAATTATCCTGAACTGTTTGTATGTAAAATAAAAAACAACATAGGATGTTTTGAGGGAGGGGGGTGTATCTGTGCCACTCCATCCTGTCCCTGTCCTAGACCTGCCAACACACAAAAGAATCTGGAGGAAAATGTAGGTGATGATATTTTTCCTCGTGTGATCAATTTGAAGTTACAATTTGAAATGTTTTCCTCAATGTTTCCTTAATGTTTTCCAGGGACATTAATGGATTGTTATGATGAGCTAGGAAATCGGTATCAGCTCCCAGTATATGTTTTGAGCTCTCCAACAAATCTCATAGAAGAAGTGAGCGAGAGTGACACAGCCACAGACTCCGAGTCTGTCTCAACAGGACCAGAGACCTTAGTGAAACTTAGGCTCTCCACTGGGAAAGACCTAAAGCTCTCAGTACGTACAACAGACACTGTGTTGAAAGTGAAAAGGAAAATCCAAACAGAGGAAGGCATTGACCCATCTCGGCAAAGATGGTTCTTTTCTGGTCGCTTACTTAGTGATAAAATGAAGATAGAAGATTGTAAAATTCCCAAGGGATTTGTTGTGCAAGTGATTGTTTCTGGATCCCACCCACATACTCCAGTAGACAGTTAAATGATACACAGAATTGCACTATCCTATTTCACATTATTTACAGAGGAAGAGCAGCTACCAAAACATTATATGATATTATGTAATAAAGGAAATTCTACATTGACTACAGGATAAAATAAAAGCTGGTGCTTTAAAGACACATTGCAAGAACCCTCATTATTGCACCCACAAAAATCAACGGAACTACAGATACTTATTCTGTTGCCCTAGTAAAAAATGTAACAGATTATTTTGTGTAATTGGATATATTTAAGTACAAGCATGTTGATTTACTTACATGGTATATAGTGTGTGTAATGCTACATATCTGCATCCATGGAATATACAGGATTGGTGAGATAGCACAGTTTCTGGTAAACTGGACATTATTTTAATGTTTTAATCTTGGCAACATTTATTTTCCCCTAAAATTAATTACAAAGGCAACATGTGTAACAGTTGCAACCCTACTTGTTTGCATTAGCATTTTAATTTGTTTCCCCCATTTTATGTGTACAGATCAGTGCTGTGATTGTTGAACAAAGCCAAGCTTGCATATCTTTACTTGCTCAAAATTTAAGGGACAATGTACAGGATTTTTGTCTTTTCAATTTTCCCCCCCTTTTTTGGATATCCGGGTCATATTCTTATTAATGTGACATCCCTTTTAAGTAATTTAATTCCTACCCCAGTTCAAAATTTACTGATTTGTGCCAAGTGACCATAAAATTGGCAGAACATGATTTAGGAGTACTTGTTAGTTTTGAACTTGACAGTAGAATATAATTGAGCAACCCAGGAAAATATCTGTATTTTTCTCCTGGATTTGGTATACAGTTCCTTTAATGCTTCAAGGAAGATATCAAGTAGACGAACTCATTTCTCATTATAGTTCTTGTATAGCTTTATATGTCAATTGATCCTAAGTCAAAAGGCACCACTCTTTAGTTTATAAAATGCCTTTAGTTAAGTGATTGAGATCTTCATATGGATTTTTCAATCATTTAAAAATTGTAAAGATATCTGTTGGTGAGTCGTCTTGCCTGCTAACTAAAAAGATTACCCTTGTCAAGGTCCCATTTGTTTGAAATCTTAAATTGTGTTTTCTGTTAATATTGTTCAGCATTGGGTCCTTTAAAATGTGGTATGACACCAAGGCAAAATGACTTGGATGTTTTTGCTGTCATGCAATGTAAACATATTATCATTTACATATCAGAAATAAAAATAAAGCAATCCTTGAAGGTATTTAGTAAGTGGACAATATTAACTTTAATCCATTTATGTACATTTTCAAGTCATTGGAATTATTTTGACTAATTTAATGTCACAGATGGACTTGCATTTGTTCATTATTGTAAAAACTCAGTCACGACTAGCATATCTGCTAGTATGGGATATGGAATATAATACAACATCAGTCAGTTGACAGATTAATCATCACATAATAGATATCCAATGATAAATTCCCCTTCCTGATAGTTTGTCACAGAATCAGAACAGTTTCCAGAATTGTTAGATAACACAGGAAGGTGCCTTTTTAAATAACTTTATCAGATAACAGATTGGCTTTGTCTAGTGCATGTCTTTAAGCTGCCACAGAAAAAGGGGAAATTAATGCATAGCATGTTGGTTAATAAAGGATGGTTGTCAGCTTCAAGTCAAAGTAATTATATTGAACATAATATGCATCTTTTGGTGTGTCAGAATAGAGAAAGTCAAATTACCCGAAGCTGTATATTATGTTTAAAGCAGAAGCTTCTGCATGAAGTATGGCAAATGTATCACCTATATTGTGGATCAATTCATGTTTTTAATGGTTGGTGATTCTGTATACCTTTCATGTTTCAGCATTTGGATTATTTTATGTCAACATTTTAGTGTTATATATATATATATATTTATAGTTTAGTGATCTGTGTTAATAGTGACTTATTTTATCAAGTTTAGTCATGGATCAAATGAGCTTGTGGCATGCTCTGAAACATGAGGATGTGAATTAACTGGTTGTGAGAGAAAAAATACTGCCAACATTTATTTAATGTTAGTATTTGAGATGAGTGATGATCAACAATATCGCATATCTTAACTTTCTTTTACTGATTTTCAAAAAGGAAAACAGTGAGTAATTTTTTTGTGTTTAGGTTGAAGGTACCTCTAACACCTGCTGATTATACTCAGAAAATCATGAAATTTTCACAGCATAATAATGCTATATTAGAAGTTGGGATATTTTCTTTCTCTTTTAAAATAGAAAAAAATCTGAAATTTTATCAATATAATAGCACAAATACTTTGAAACAGCCCCAGTTGAAGGCAGAAACAAAAAAAATAGGTTCATACAATTTCATCCTTTTATAACCCTGTGATTATTACTACAAGGTATTAATGTCTTCAAAAAGACTTTGCAAGTCATTGAATTGTTTATAAACATACTGCTTTGAACAATCACAGTGCTGGCAATTTTCTCATATATGTAAGATAATTAGATAAAGTAGAACTTGCTGTCTTGTGGTCAAATAGCAGGCCCAAGAGAGAACTGATGGCCCATAAGGACATGTAAAAGAAAGTTGATCTAAATGTATGTATGTAATGTAAATATAATCTTGAAATTTTAAATAAAGCAATTATGAACTGGCATAGGTTTTTTTACGTAGACATATTGTGTCTGTACATATAGCCATCACCTGGAACTGTCTTCACTGCCATCATCATTGTGCACTTTCTTGGGGGGATTGAGGCTGTCTGCTGGGTCTTCCAGAAGATGGTCAGATTTTCAAGGTTACATTGACAGGTATCTAATTTTTACTGTGGGAAGTACAGTCAAAAATGGAGTATGGATCAATGAAGATAATTTGGAAGACTGTCAGAAAATATCTCTGAATCTGCCCCTGCTTGCAGTAACAACACGCTAACTGGAAAACAATTTGACCTATTGTCAAACTTGCAGAAGTGATGAATATTCTTAAAATACAGGCCAAGTTCAAAAATCAGCCTGTTTGGACCATTTTTCCAAAACTTATGCTGTTAGGCTTGACGACCTTTGCTCCTAGCATTTCTGAATATCCATGATACTTTTATTTTAGTATTAAAAATTGATGGTCATTAAACTATTAAACATTATGTAATATTGCATCAAAATTGAAGAAAGCCCTACTTTGGGCACTGCTGCAGTAACGACAAATGAAGGAAATCCATGTTACTTATGATTTTCAAACTTACTGAAAAGATTCCTATTATCAAAATGCAGTTTGATTTGGAAAACCAGTCTGATTGGATTCTTTTCTGAAAGCAATGCAGTTCTTTGTGAAATTTTCCTTTTTCACACATTAACATTTTCAATGTGGGACTTCCATGGGCCTCATGCCAAATTGTAGTTACATTTTCAGAATGTCCATGTTACATAAAGCAGACGATTAAAAATTGGTGGTGATACTGTCACCACAAACTGTTTGAAAGGAAAACCGTGTTACTTATTATTTTGTAATTTACAAGAATGATTCTTAGAGTTGACATGTAGCTCAAATTGGAAAACCGGCTTGACTGGATTATTTTTCTTTATTGGATTTATGCATTTTTTTTCCCTTTTTTTTTTAAATGTTCATTTTTTTCTCATTCTGGCATTTTCAAAGTGTGAACTTTAACTTATGGGCCTTATGCTAGTTTCACATCTTACTTACATCGGTATTACCTGTTGTGCATGATAAAAATTTGCATCATTGCTGTTAAGCACAATGCATTATTGCATTTAAATTGACAAAATAGCTTATTTTGTGCATCATTATTTTCTGCTTTTTGTCTGTACATATGACAGCCTTGTTTGATATGGGAAGTGTCGACTGTTTAATAGGAAGAAAAAAAATCACATCCTGTATTCAAACTGATGGAATTGACCAAAAAAAATTACATGCTCACAACTTAAGTCAGAAATGGGTCTTTTTAAAACAAGAATGTGGCTATAATTTGTCATAACCCTCTATTGATTAGATGCTGAGAGTGCCATACTTTAATCTCGTTGTCTGCCCAAATGGATTCACAGATTTCAAGTCTGTGATATCCATTGTAAATACATATACATTGCTATTCCCTGCCCTGTGCAATAAGCAGCTGTGCCGTGTTTGAAAAGACATCACTGACACAAGACTTTAAGTCTTTTCTTTTTCATATATATTTGTATCTGATGTAAAATAGACCTTAACTAGTTTTAATTCATTTTCTAGTCTAAACACACCAGACTTACATTTACTCAGCTTATTGCAAAAAAATTTATATCTATCAAATACAACAACTTCAGACTCAAGGGTTATTATTCAAATGAATTTATTTATAAAGTATGCCTCAATTATACAAAATCAACCTGATCATGTGCACTATAATATATCTGTACTATGATCAGTAAGTTGATAACAATCTCAAATTTTGCACTGAACATATTGCCTTGTAAAATGTATTATGCATCATTTGGTGTAAAAGTCAATAAAGATAAATAATGCTAAATTCAGAAAAACAAAGAACAAAGCATTTCAATTAGTACAATTACTTGAATTCACTGATTGGGTTTTGGAATGAAATGAAAACAAAACAAACAAATTTACTTGTAAAAATTGTATATCCTAAAACATTACTAGACATAGACTCTATGATAAATCACAAGTTTCACAACTTCATTTTAAATACTTAAACTTAAAACTGACCCTTTAATTTTTTACATTTTTTAACATGTAAGAAATCTACATGCATCGTTAACTAGTACCAAAGAAAGCTTTTTGAAACAAAACTATATGAGGAAGACAGCTATTAACAGGGTGCAAAATGAAAGTAAATAAATTCTTTATAACACTCAGAGTTGGTTCTTCTTAATCAAAGGGATTATTTTATCACCCTATAATCGAATTTACATAACAACACACATTTTTGATTTCTGTGATTTGCTAGGAAGGTCAGGTTCACTGCCTGAATCATTTTTCTTCTTTTCAGCTTCACGGTCCTTCATCTTCTGGTGGTATTCATGGAGAAGTCTTTCTCTAAAAAAAAAACATTTAATATAGTCTTTTTTTAGCCAAGTTACTCCTTGATGACCCTGTGGTCACTTTTCTTTTCAAAATTTGTCACTTACTTAACCATTTTTTCTCAACAGCAAAATATTTTGGTGATATAAAAGCTTCTCATGTATAGTTGAGCAAAATTAGTGTACACCACTTTGAACAATTTATCAAACAATCTGAGCTACCAAAAAGAGTACTACTACTACTACTACTACTAGCATTAGTATTAAAACGTAAAATACAAATTTTTCTAACATAACATCATATGGTAGTAGCATAATAATGTTACTATCTCATTAAATAATTTTAATTGTTATAAGAAATAGTGACAAAATTGGAAATTGAGTTGCAGATAAAAAAAATTTAATGTGTGAAATTAAATTGTCCTACCTTTCTCCTCTTGGCAAAGGTGGGGGTGAGGCAGATGTAGACGGCTGTTCATCATCCCTGCTGTCTCTGGGATGGAGACTCTCATAGGTTTTGTCAAGTTTTTCTGTTGTCCCTGGGTCATCTTTTTCAGTTTCATTCTCATCCTCAGAATCTGCATCAAACCAAATTGTGTATTAAAGGTAATGCATTTTTATTTGGAAAAATCTCACCTGATGTTCTTCTTGAACATACTAATTTGGAGTCTGGAGGAATTCAGTATGTCACACATTCAAATACAAATCCTCAATCAATAACCAACATTGCACTGCCAACTTGATTCTACATTCAAACCAACATAAACTTTAAATTTTTGAAAGCAAAAGGAGACACAAAGAATATCAAAGATGCAAAATATATTTTTAATATCAACATATTTTACCTTCAGATTCAGATTCAGTGTCTGTTTGCTTCTTGGTTTTGTCAACTTTGGCATACTCTGAAGACTGAACTGGCGTCTCATAGGTACCATTCAGAGGAGGAGGTACTGGAGGGGGCTGCAAACTGCAACAGACAAGATAAAAAATAATCATATTGCTTACAAAACCTGCTCAAATATACATTTACAAATTAAGTTTATTTAGAAACATATTCCCTCACCTAGGAAGTGATAATAAGAGAATGATACTAACCAAAGTATACTTCTATAACAAAACAACACAAAACAAAGTCAAAGAATAATTGTGTTGTACTGACCTTTCTTTTTCATCCTTTTTTTCTTCTGTTGCAGTTTCAGATCCAGAGCCTGAATCAGAGTCTGCCTTTTCTTTGCCTGTTTCTGTCTCAGTGTCTGAGCTGGATTCACTTTCCGACACCCTTGTAGGTATTGTTTCATCCATTTTTTTCTTATCTGATTTTTCTTTAAAACCATCCTCTTTGTCAGATGACGAATCATTAAGATGTTTTTTCATTGCCTCTTTCACACTTTTTTTATCCTCATCTTCTGAATCAGAATTCTCCTCAGTCTTAGAAGTTTCCTCATCACTATCAGATTCACTGTCACTGCTAGCACTACCACTGCCACTGCTGCCACTACTACTTCCACTACCACTGCTACTGCTGCTACCATCACTACTCGATTCACTGTCACTCTCAGATGAAGTGGAGGGAGAGGAAGTTTCCTTCTTGCGATGTCTTCTGCTCTTTCCTTTCCCTTTATCATACTCACTTTCAGTTTCAGTTTCAGTTTTACTCTCAGATTCTGATTCTGATGAAGAGGAAACATCTCTTCTCTTCCTGTGTCCTTTCCTTTTCTTTTTGTGATCGCTTTCAGTTGTGCTTTCACTTTCAGACTCAGATTCTTCACTTGAACTGGACTTCTTTCTGTGCCTGCGCCTTTTTGGCTTTTCACTCTCTGTGCTGGTTTCAGTTTCAGTGACACTTGTTATACTACTATCAGTTACTTGTCTCTGCTTGGGATGCCCTTTCTCCTGTTTATATGCCATTTTGCTATGTGAAGGTTGGGGAGCTACTTGCAATGATTTTTTAGGTGTGGAAGCAGACAATGGCCTTCTACCTGTAGGTGCTACAACAGATTCCTCATCTGAAAAAAATTTTTGATGTCATAAAAATTGATAAAAATAAAGTTTATATCATATATCATTTTTACATATACATGCATTCTCTTTGTGATAAACTCATTCCTGAATAAAACTTCAATATAACACTCTACTGTAACTATATTAACTGATGTTCAAATCTGACCAGTTCAAAAAGTCACTTCAAAAGAATTCAAGCTGTATTAAATCATCACAGTGTACTTTATTCTTCACCAGAGTTTTGTCAGCCTACCTGAACTACTAGAATGACTGGACTCTGAGAGGTTCATGTCCTTCAATCTCTGTTTCCAATCATCATCATCAGTATGATAGTAAGTATCATGGCGTATTGGCTGATTCCCATGACGAGTCGAATTCAATGACTGGTTTTGAAAGTCTCCATTTAAATCTCTGCTCCTTCTCATTCTATGGAAAAGATCATAAGATCATACGTATAAATATACCTAAAAACCTCAGTGTGGCCAAATTTGGCATTGTAGGTAAAAATACACTTTCTGGAAAGCTTAAAGGGGTGGGGCCTACTCCCCATGGATCTGCCTCTCCTTGGATATGCAATATAATCAGACCATTTCAGAAACTGCATGTTAAAAAATAAAAATCACATACAGATGGTAAACAAACTCACAAGGAAAATGAACTTCATATGATTGTCAATGTTACCATGTGATGCAATTTTCAATGTTTATTTGATGGTAACTACAACCAGAATAACATAAATATACATTTTAATATTCAAAATGTTATTTAAACATTACAGAGAAAAATATTCTCATACCTCCTATTCATACTGTCTGGGCTGGTTTGATGGTGATCAGAAGCAGCTGTAAATGGCCGTGATGCATTTCTTGAAGAAGGTCGAGATCCAGTCCTTTGGGGTGAAGAAATACAAAAATCATCAAAGCATACTTTCATTATTCCTGTGCTTGTTTTGTTTAAAATATTTTTTTACATGTCATCATTGTTGCCTGATTTTTAATTTCAACAATTAAAACACAGCATGTATTAAAAGACAGCAAATATGCAATACCTTGAAACATTACAATTAAAAACAATAATTTTACAATTTAGCCACTTAGCTAAAAGGTAACAGTTCAAACCACATTTGATAAGTAGCACATACCTTCTACTGATCAATTCTGTGTCAGAATGTCTTTTCTTTTCATCAACTGGTTCATGAGGTTCAATGCCAAGGCCAAGCATTCCAACACGCCCAGAATGCATCATCATATTTTCCCTCCATGTAGCTCTTCTTGTCACTTTTGACTTTCTGTTAGAAACAGAAGTTTACATTTTACCAACAACAAAGCAATTCATTCAATTCAAAGAAAAAAGCAGGTCAATTTGCAAAGCTCCCTGTGTTTCTAATGTATTTCAGAACTGTATATGTTTGAGTATCACAAATATAGAAGTAATAGTAAATGACATGTAACTGATTTTAATGAAGAATAAACATTATAACATATTTCACTATCTTGTATAATAATGCTATTAAGCTGACTTAAAGTTAATAAAGATATAATACATATGTAAAGGAGAGATAGAGAAAGAGAGAGAGGGAGAGAGACAATCATCAAAGAGGGAAATATTGTCATAAGTGGTAGTACTCTGCAGAGAAAAATTGCCTGTTAGGAAATTATCCAGGAGGGAGTAATTGTAATGGGATATTGTTTTGGAGTCTAAGTATTCACCTTTCTTTCCTATTGGTCTTTCCATGTTTTGGGCTCTCTCTTGTTTGATGCACTTCCACAGTGGGTTCAGCTGATGACTGCTTAGTCCATCCATTTATTTCCGAGTGCTGATGTGGGGACCGGTGCCCTGCCATATCATGTCCACTCCTACTACTGCTTCTTCTACTGTGAGTGTATCCATTACCACCTCCATTCATCAAACCGTGGGCACTGCTGCCATCAACATGACCACCAACTTGAAGCTGATAACTTAGGGCATCTGTGAGTTTTGCAACTATTCTCTCCTGGGCTTGGGGATTGCTTTCACACACGGATAGCTTGCCCAAAGCCTGCTTGAAATATCGCACAGCTTTCTCTATGCTGCCATTGACAAAGGCAAGGACTCCAAGTCCCTCCAGTGCTTGCCACTCTCCATGACTGTCACCTATAGATAAAGATTAAATGTAAGTGGTACATACAGCATTTTCTTACTATTATGTTAAATGCAGACACAATTATAACTTGTACCTGTTATATACTTTTAATAATTCAGAAAATCATGTGTAACACTCAAAAATTGATAGTTCAAAGTCATGCAATATTCTTGTTACTATTCTATTATACACCTCACCTCCATCTTTTGCAGCCTGCAGGGCATGTTTGTAGTATTCCTCTGCACTCTCATCATCTCCTGTTTGGGTGCAAGCAAATGCCAAGTTCATGAAGGACTCGCCCTGAGAGGTACGGTTCCTGAACTTGCCTGAAATCATAAATAACAATATTAAACCCAATTTATGAATTTTCATTGGTGTGTGTCTTAACTACATCAAATTGAAATATATTCAAAACAGTAATAAACACTAATAGAAGTAGCCAAGGGATGGCCAACAAATGTAAACATCGAGTCATCACTGTAAAACTTTATAAAATTGGCATACCATGAAGATCTGCAGCCTTCTGATGAAAACTAAGAGCCCTCTGGAAGTCTCCCAAAGAATTATATGCAGCTCCTAAGTTCTGTAGCAGCACCGCCTCAGTCTTCTCATCAGCACTGAGTCCACGGCAGTGTGGTAGACCTTCTTCAAAACAACTGGCAGCCTTGGAGAACTCCCTACACTGTGTATACAGAATGCCTAACTCAACCATCACTTTTGCTGGAAAAACAATTAAATCCATCTAAGACCTACTAAAGATCATATTAATTTAGTTGAAAGAAAATTAGCCCTTGGAAGATATAGAGGAGAAAATGCATAGGCACTTTTCAATCTGACATGTGCAAATAATGTTTCAGAAACAGCAGAACTGCATAAAAATTATTGGTTGCAAAATGTTTTGGTGCTGTAAAACTGCTGATGAATTACTTGCCAATGCCATTACGTCTATATAAAATATTCATTTCCATCTCAACTAGATAGTGTGACAAATTGCTATCACACAATATTGCGAGACCAATGAATTACATACAAGTGATTAGTTCCTGATAAAAAGTCACAGTGCTACAAAATCGATTGTCTACTCAAATGAAAACAGATTATACAACGTTGCCACTGCTGAAAATATTTATTTTAGGAACACGTTATGAGAATTGCATATTCCCAGTAGAGATATAAAATTGCACTAAATATGGGTTGCATATCACGTTTGCCTGCTTAAAAACATTAATTTTTAGTAACAGTGATTTAATGCATGATTTGCTTATATTTAATAAAGCCACCCTGAGAGACTAGCAATTATCACACAACACTATTGAGGGTATACTCTCATACATGAAAACACTTTTCCTTATTTGTAGCCCTTAATAACGAAATCTTCAACAGGAATTCTGTTAGCAACATGGTGCCAATAAAGCTGTCTAAAGTAAGCAAACCTAGCCTGAATTCATTAAAAGATAAGATTTGGGCATAATGTACAGGCCGAGGGCATGGTAAATTAATAAGTACAGTATATGGAGTGTAAAATGACAGATGGTCTTAATAACTTACACTAAAATACATTAAAATAGATTAAGCTATGTTAAATTAAATTGACAGTTCTTACCAATATCTGGACTTTCCTCAATGTTTTTACACATCTTCAAGCAATCATCAGTCACTTCAATGGCCTTATCAGTATCCCCTACTTTTATTAAAAGACCTGCTTGCTTACACATCATCTTGGCCTGAGTGGGAAGGTCGCCTAGTTTTAAATACACTGTTGCAGCACTTCTGTAACTGTCTGCAGCTTGGGAGAACTTGTTCAGTTTTGTATAGAGATCAGCAAGTCTGAGACACACATCAGACTCCATCTGAAAGTTTGTCAGTTCATTCCTGTACTCTTCCTGTGCCAAACTGTAGTGCCTGATGGCCTCTGGGAGGTCTGATAAGGCCTCGTAACCAAGCCCAAAGTTATAATACAAGTCACCATTTGACTGGCCATCTCTACCGTTAAGAGGAGGAACAGCCCGCTGTAATAGTTCAAGTCCCTTTTTGGGTTCATTCACAGCAATGTATACTGCCCCTAAATTGAATGCACATGCCCGCTCTGTAAATCCATCATTGAGTGGAAGAGATCTTTTAAATGCATTAGAAAAGGCAGCTAGTGCCTTTTTCAAGTTTCCTTGATTGAGTTCTTGTGTGCCTTGTCGCGTAAACTTGTCTATTTCTGCTACAATAAGACCCTGTTTCTTCTGATGTGTCCTCTCTTCATCCATATTGAACTCTGAAATAATGAATTAATTCATTCCTTTTTAATACCATAAAACAATGGTTAGCGTCCTGTCAACTCAGGTCATCTATTAAGTATTATCCTAGTACTTGTAGTAGTCCGGCTAATAGCAATAATAAAAAATAGCATAATTCACGAACTTGGTCCAAGACAAAAAAAAAAAATAATAATAATAATGAAATAAATCTGTATTTCACTGAGAAGTATCCAATTATAAGCAGTGGTAGTGAAGTCTACTTGGGCTACCAAACTTCGGAAGCACATGTATGATGTACACGTACCTGTACACCGTAATCTCCACAAGCGATGCTTCTATTCTTTTTTAAAGCTCCGTAATTCTAACAGGTGCTCGTTTTATCCTGATTTGTTAAAGGAGCAGCTCCCTTAATTATCTTTAACTTAAATATAACACTCTTGCCCTGCAAGTTCACTCTTAAAACTCACCTTGTGGATATACGTCCAGTGAATCCACTTTACTGGTTTCAATTTCCCTGTCCTAGCTGTCCCATGGTTTTCACCAAAACATCCTGACGTCATGTGGCAACATGGATACGTTACCTCGTACCTAGAAAACAAAGACAGGTGTTTAGAGTACGTGTTGATGCAGAATTGTCTAATCAGTTTTAATACGTAATAAAATATGATACATGTACCTTTATTCAATTCTTTTAAATTTCCTTCGTAAATAAGCAAATTAACACATATTTGTGCAATATTTGATTTTTTACTTGCAAATAAACAATGTACAAGGTAACATAGTAGGAGCGCTGTTAACAAGACAAGACCAATTAAGAGTTTTCTTGCAACCAATGCTTGTCGAGAAAATAAACTAGTTATTACTATTGGCAATCAACTTAAACTAAAATCCACTTTGGTTAAGAAGAAATATATTTTATCATTTTCATCTGATTTTCAAATATAACACGTAAACCGTTACGTGTGCGTACGAGCCATTGGGTAGTGGAAGGGGGAAAGGAACAAAAAGGGAGTACTAAGTAGGCCTACTAGAGACAGGCCTACATAAGTTGGGTACATGTCACTTGGGTGAATCATAAGCTTATGCAAACTAGCATTCGACGACGCACGAGCTCAAACGGTTATTTTCCCAAAAAGTTTGGAACTTAAGGCGCGTTATCAATTCGTTAGCTTCGTGTTTGCTAGATCCTGCGACTGCCTTTTTTTTTTTTTTTTTTTTTTTTTTTTTTTTTTTTTTTAAATCAAAACGGTCTTCAAAGTAAAGTTTATTTCAAATGCAGCAGAGTACAATTTGAGTTCGTCAGTCGTTGAAACGCGGGAACGCGCTGAATGATTCGCTTGCCACCCAAACCCAATATAGAGATGCATTTCACATGCTGAAGTGTCCAAAAATAAAATTGAATGAAATCCAAAGTTGTATTCAATTTTTAAAACATATACGTGTATAAAACAAAAACACACGACTGTTTCAATTTTAATTTAATTTTTAATTTTAACCATGTCTTTACATTATGCAAAGAGCCGTAAATGGTAACGTATGTTCCAGGTCATTTAAAATAAAATTTTTATACCGCGTTCGGATATATTTTGTACTGATTCAGTCATGGTAAATTATACATGACGTAAGGATGTTTATATAAATATTTAAACTGTAACTCAAGGGGGCTTGCGTCATGGCTAATACTACGTAACGTATGTTCCCCAAAAATTGTCAGAAAGTTTCATTTTGTTCAGGTACTTGGTGCAAGAAAAATATATTGGTATTCCATGATAGTTTGACATTTCTAATCATCATGAGTGGAAAAATAGTTTATTTAATGCTTATTTTACTGTCGGTAGGGTGCATTGCCCCGTTTTTTAATATTAAGTAACAAGCAAACTAAAGTCGCTCAAAAACAACTGCTCTATACAGAAGATTATCATAATTTTTACAACGTTATACCAGTAGGCATACTTGTAGGAGATAAATCAAAGAACACAACTAGTGATGATTGAATTTTCAAAGTGAGTAAAACGTTTCACAGCTGGTAACGCAGTCGGCACTCTTACAAGTCTGTTACAAGTCAGAAACAGTAGTAGTGGAGGCATGCTTCTTCAATTTGCGCATACTGGTGTACAAGTTATGTGATTAAATGAAAAACATGATGTGTTCCCCGTTGTTTATTATTATTGTTGTTGTTGTTTGACTGACAACCTTTACGCCAGCCCGCACGTGTTCTTCTACCGTTTTAAAGGCTCACCCTGTGAGTCAGTATATTTCATATTTTATGTGCGGTGATGAAAGTCAAAACATAAGTCAAGAAGGACGGAAGGGAGATGACAGTTTCGGACCAATAGACCTTCCAACCGTTGAGGGTTCAGACTAATAAAAATTTTGAGCAATGAACCTGCACTTTTGCTTTAATAAAATATCCGAGTTAAGAGAAATTTTCAATTAGGGATAACAGTTAATAACAACAGACCTCCTAAGTAAATTCTGAAGTGAAAAACCTTAGTTTTACTGGATATTTAGATCAAAAGGAAATAAAAGTTAAATATTACCGATATGAACTCGTGGTGATAAATGGGCTTTATAATTAGATTGCGATGATAGTCAGAAAGGTTTCATTTATGCTAGATCCTGAAATTTGATTTACCTGTTGACTGTTTCGTCTGTTCACTCTGNCCTACATGACACAAATAGGGCTCATCAACAAGGACATCAATATACAAAAACATATCTTACAGAACAGCTTAAATTGATAACCTTGGTTAATTTCAATATTCGTTACTTTCAAAATCACAAGGAAATTCAATTTCGGTTAAAATTTACATTAACGACTTACCTATATGAATATCACGAATATTATCAGGCAGGTAATGTGCTAGATGCGAAAAACTATGACTTCATGGCCAACCATCGCAATCTAATGTGAAAATAGTTTCATTGGATCTTAGTTTTTGATAGTCAGAAAGGTTTCATTTATGCTAGATCCTGAAATTTGATTTACCTGTTGACTGTTTCGTCTGTTCACTCTGACAGACTTGGTCACAACTGAATTACCTGTTCAGGTGAAGGTGAACAGGTAATTATCTCAGTCTTGATGATGACTTGTTAGCCCCTCTCGCCCCCTCCCCCCAGGGTGGGTTTGAGAATGTCGTCATACACATGGGACAGCTTGTGTGCTCCTTCATCTCTGTTCATGGTGTGTTTCTTCCTTCTTATCCAGATCGATTCCAAAACTTTGCGCTTGCTGTAGTCATTTTCACCGGTTAGCACCTTTACATTGTCCCATTTTGGCACATGGTTGTTATCTGACATATGATCTGTGATGGCAGATTTGTGTAGAACTCCTGTTGACATAGAGCGTTTGGATCTGGTGTTAACTCCCTCACCTACATTTTCCTTAACATCTTTCTTGTGTTCCTCTAGTCTTGTTTCTAATTTTCTTCCCGTCTCTCCAACATAGACTCTGTCACAGCTCCCACACCCGATTTGATATACCACTCCACACTTCTTGTTCTTACATTCTCAAACCCACCCTGGGGGGAGGGGGCGAGAGGGGCTAACAAGTCATCATCAAGACTGAGATAATTACCTGTTCACCTTCACCTGAACAGGTAATTCAGTTGTGACCAAGTCTGTCAGAGTGAACAGACGAAACAGTCAACAGGTAAATCAAATTTCAGGATCTAGCATAAATGAAACCTTTCTGACTATCAAAAACTAAGATCCAATGAAACTATTTTCACATTAGATTGCGATGGTTGGCCATGAAGTCATAGTTTTTCGCATCTAGCACATTACCTGCCTGATAATATTCGTGATATTCATATAGGTAAGTCGTTAATGTAAATTTTAACCGAAATTGAATTTCCTTGTGATTTTGAAAGTAACGAATATTGAAATTAACCAAGGTTATCAATTTAAGCTGTTCTGTAAGATATGTTTTTGTATATTGATGTCCTTGTTGATGAGCCCTATTTGTGTCATGTAGGTGTCCCCTGCCCCCAAGTTTGGTATATTAAAATTTTCTTCGGTATATCTACAGACTTTATTATGATCAGTCTTATCCTGTACTTTTGGGGCGGAGCCAAATCCACCTTCAAGATTAGTTAAGACCCCCCCCCCGTATCTACCTGAGGTATGGGGTAAATATATGGGGTAGATATCGTAATACAAACTAGTGCTGGAGGTGTCTTTGCGTACACACCGCACTGAATTTCTTTTGATATAATCAAGCAATCTGATATATACGTGGTCTATGAAAATACTTCTTTCATCGTATTTATTGTCAAAAAAATGCAATATCAAAATTTTTTAATCTAATCGTTGTGCAATATTTTTGCTCCGACACTTATTCAGCATGATTTAAAATTTGATGAATACTGTCATACGGCGTTTTAAGTCAATGCATTTAATGAATACCTTGGTGGGTCCTAGTGTAGCGATAATGTTTATAAGCCATTTTCACACTGAATGGTATACTTTTGCGATGCAGTCTGTACCGATACACCGTGAGAGGTCCTAGCATTTAATCCGTGCATTTTGCTAGAAAGGTTTTACTTGCTCTCACGAGCTATAGCTTCCTACTTTTTGAGTGGGGGGCGCGTCGAGCGTGGGGGCTACGTTTAAGGAAACTCTATTTTGTAATAGACCTAAATCAAATAAAACAGCTTCTTAAAACATAGCATCCTTTCATGATTGTAAATTTCATGTCTATGAGCTGTTATCAAAACCAGCCTTCTTTAAACTCAAAGCATATGGGACCTCGAAGTCAGATAATTGATTACTATGCACACAACCACACTCNCGTCACTGTAATGGGTTAATAAGTACATTGTAGGCCTACTAGAGACAGGCCTACATAAGTTGGGTACATGTCACTTGGGTGAATCATAAGCTTATGCAAACTAGCATTCGACGACGCATGAGCTCAAACGGGTATTTTCCCAAAAAGTTTGGAACTTAAGGCGCGTTATCAATTCGTAAGCTTCGTGTTTGCTAGATCCTGCGACTGCTTTTTTTTCTTTCTTTTTTTTTTTTTAATCAAAACGGTCTTCAAAGTAAAGTTTATTTCAAATGCAGCAGAGTACAATTTGAGTTCGTCAGTCGTTGGGACGCGGGAACGCGCTGAATGATTCGCTTGCCACCCAAACCCAATATAGAGATGCATTTCACATGCTGAAGTGTCCAAAAATAAAATTGAATGAAGTCCAAAGTTGTATTCCATTTTTTTAAACATAATTTTATGTGTATAAAACAAAAACCCACGACTGTTTCAATTTTAATTTAATTTTTAATCTTAACCATGTCTTTACATTATGCAAAGAGCCGTAAATGGTAACGTATGTTCCAGGTCATTTAAATAAAATTTTTATACCGCGTTCGGATATATTTTGTACTGATTCAGTCATGGTAAATTATACATGACGTAAGGATGTTTATATAAATATTTAAACTGTAACTCAAGGGGTTTTGCGTCATGGCTAATACTACGTAACGTATGTTCCCCCAAAATTGTCAGAAAGTTTCATTTTGTTCAAGTACTTGGTGCAAGAAAAATATATTGGTATTCCATGATAGTTTGACATTTCAAATATAATATTTGGATCATGAGTGGAAAAATAGTTTATTTAATGCTTATTTTACTGTCGGTAGGGTGCATCGCCCCGTTTTTTAATATTCAGTAACAAGCAAACTAAAGTCGCTCAAAAACAGCTGCTCTATACAGAAGATTATCATAATTTTTACAACGTTATACCAGTAGGCATACTTGTAGGAGATAAATCAAAGAACAAAACTAGTGATGATTGAATTTTCAAAGTGAGTAAAACATTTCACAGCTGGTAACGCAGTCGGCACTCTTACAAGTCTGTTACAAGTCAGAAACAGTAGTTGTGGAGGCATGCTTCTTCAATTTGCGCATGCTGGTGTACAAGTTATGTGATTAAATGAAAAACATGATGTGTTCCCCGTTGTTTTAACATTTAAATTTATTATTGTTGTTGTTGTTGTTGTTGTTTGACTGACAACCTTTACGCCAGCCCGCACGTGTTCTTCTACCGTTTTTAAGGCTCACCCTCTGAGTCAGTATATTTCATATTTTATGTGCGGTGATGAAAGTCAAAACATAAGTCAAGAAGGACGGAAGGGAGATGACAGTTTCGGACCAATAGACCTTCCAACCGTTGAGGGTTCAGACTAATAAAAATTTTGAGCAATGAACCTGCACTTTTGCTTTAATAAAATATCCGAGTAAAGAGAAATTTTCAATTAGGGATAACAGTTTATAACAACGGACCTTCTAAGTAAATTCTGAAGTGAAAAACCTTAGTTTTACTGGATATTTAGATCAAAAGGAAATAAAAGTAAAATATTACCGATATGAACTCGTGGTGACAGATGGGCTATATAATTAGATTGCGATGGTTGGCCATGAAGTCATAGTTTTTCGCATCTAGCACATTACCTGCCTGATAATATTCGTGATATTCATATAAGTAAGTCGTTAATGTAAATTTTAACCGGGAATTGAATTTCCTTGTGATTTTGAAAATAACGAATATTGAAATTAACCAAGGTTATCAATTTAAGCTGTTCTGTAAGATATGTTTTTGTATATTGATGTCCTTGTTGATGAGCCCTATTTGTGTCATGTAGGTGTCCCCTGCCCCCGAGTTTGGTATATTAAAATTTTCTTCGGTATATCTACAGACTTTATTATGATCAGTCTTATCCTGTACTTTTGGGTTGGAGCCAAATCCACCTTCAAGATTAGTTAAGACCCCCCCCCCCGTATCTACCTGAGGTATGGGGTAAATATATGGGGTAAATATCGTAATACAAACTAGTGCTGGAGGTGTCTCTGCATACACACCGCACTGAATTTCTTTTGATATAATCAAGCAATCTGATATATACGTGGTTTATGAAAATACTTCTTTCATCGTATTTATTGTCAAAAAATGCAATATCAAAATTTTTTAATCTAATCGTTGTGCAATATTTTTGCTCCGACACTTATTCAGCACGATTTAAAATTTGATGAATACTGTCATACGGCGTTTTAAGTCAATGCATTTAATGAATACCTTGGTGGGTCCTAGTGTAGCGATAATGTTTATAAGCCATTTTCACACTGAATGGTATACTTTTGCGATGCAGTCTGTACCGATACACCGTGAGAGGTCCTAGCATTTAATCCGTGCATTTTGCTAGAAAGGTTTTACTTGCTCTCACGAGCTACAGCTTCCTACTTTTTGAGTGGGGGGCGCGTCGAGCGTGGGGGCTACGTTTAAGGAAACTCTATTTTGTAATAGACCTAAATCAAATAAAACAGCTTCTTAAAACATAGCATCCTTTCACGATTGTAAATTTCATGTCTATGAGCTGTTATCAAAACCAGCCTTCTTTAAACTCAAAGCATATGGGACCTCGAAGTCAGATAATTGATTACTATGCACACAACCACACTCGGCAGCAGTGCTTACTGACCTTCCCCGTTGGAAAGCACCTATCCGGTTCTACGTCGGTTTGTTTTTAGTGGAAGGAAACAATTGTTTTTACGAACTGGTAGCATAACTATTTGACTTTAGCATAAGGGGGAAAGTCCTTGCTCCTCGACCTAGACAGGAGGCTGTTTGCGCAAACAAAAAACCCGGGCAAGATTCAGAAGTTTTGCAGAACAGAAAATGGGCTGGCGATCGGCTCTGAAGCGTTCTTTACATATCAGTAACAAAACATGTAGAGAGGCACTTGCAGAATTCGTGGGCACGTTTATACTTATCGTAAGTAGGCCAATAAACTTTTATTCATTCAAAAGTAATTTAGAAGATATCGCTAAATGTCATTGTGTTCAGTATCCGAATCTTCCTCGTCTATTTAATGCCTTTTCTATGAATAAACTAAACCTTTGAAAAACTAATCAGCGGCTAATAACATATGCATATGTTAATGTACTTTGTTACGTATGAAATCGGATTAATTTATTTTCAAGAAGGTTGTTTTTCAGAAGCTTAATGTGAGCGCAATAGCGTGAGGTCTCGCTGAGTTCAACCTATCTCGTCCATCTTATCGAATAAATACATTGACAAGGTGTCAGCCGTATTAACAGGCAAATGCGCTATAAAAAGAAATAAAGTTATATTAGGAGCCCAGGAGCACAGAACCTGAAAAATTGTTGATGTTTAATTAGAGTGTAAATATTTGCAAATCAGTTTTGATTAAAGACTATAAAACATGTCAGGAGCAAGGACAGCTGGCAAGAGCCTAATAATACCAAAGTTTGAAATAATTTAACACGAAAAACAAGGGCAAAGCTAAGCCTACTTTTTGGTTGACGCTGTACTTCACATATCACCCAACCATCCCTAATCCACACAATCTTGTTTGCCTAGGCTCTTTTATCTTAGCTTCTGCACCCCTAAGGAGATGTAAGGGAGTCACCGGCTCCTCGAACTAAGCAGTTGCTTCCTCTGATCTAAAACACGCACCAAACATAGTTTGGGCAGATGTTAATAAGTAGGGCGCGTCAGTCAAGTCCACGCATTTTGGACTAGGCACGCTTAGGTAGCTTTTTACGCTAGTAATCCTTGTATTTGTGAAGTTTCTGGGCTTATCTTTGGAAATGTGAAACAGTGCTGCATTCAACATTTACCACAATCTTCGTATGAACTATTTGCTCTGTCATCATTTTTAGATGAAGTACACACATCATTATCTTGTATATGTTACCTTATCAATGTTAAATAAAAATATATTGCTTACAGTCGGCTGTACAATGTACACCGTGGTCGTATGCCTTCATATGTATCAATTTCAAGGTTATTTCTGGACAGATATTGGAAATTAGAGATTTGCAAAGTTTAAAGGGATTAAAAGTGACCTACATAACTTTCTGATTAGTACCAGTCAAATATGGCTCTAAACTTCAAACTTAAGGGTATACAGTGTGTGCCAGATCCATATGGCATAGTAATTCTAGAATAAATACATATCGTGCCAGTTTTTCAATGTTGAACAATGGGATTCTTTAAAAATTTCCTTCCTTTACACTGAACAGTTATACAGATGATAGAGTTGCTGAACTGTATTCGCAGACGTTTCTCAGAACAAATATGCTGTCAGGTTTGCCCCTCGCGAATCGGGTGTATTTTAAATGTTTTCTTGACATATGATCATCCGTTACGGTTACCGACGCAAAACAGCTGGCAGAAATCCCTGTGTCTCTGGAAGAAAAAAAAACTTGATCGGCAGGATTTCACGAAAAAGTTGCCCTCCGTTAATCATAATGCTTAACCTGGCTATGTTATTTTTAGGTATTCGGTTGTGGGTCAGTGGCACAGAAGGTTTTCGGGAAAGATGGCTTTGGCGACTTTTTCTCGGTGAACTGGAGTTGGGGATTGGGTGTGGCTTTGGGCGTATTCTTTTCCGGAGGAGTATCAGGTTATGCTCGTTGCATGTCATTTTTTTCGTTCATTTTCGTCCTTTTTCTCTCTCCATGACAAATATATTTATCTTTTTTTTATTTCTACCTTCTTGGCATTGCAAAGCACAGCAGTTTCGTATACAAAGGCTTTTCTAGCTTATCTGTGCCTTTGTTATTTTTGTCAACTTTTTTTTTCTAAACCTTGTTTCAAATAATTTCATGTTGGTTATGCTTCCATCGTTTTAATAATACTGTCAAGTTTCTATAAAATATTTTTATTGCACGGTACGTCAATAAAAATTGAAGATAAATACAATACGGAATGTTAGAATGAATTTAATATATCTTGCAGGAGGGCACATAAACCCCGCTGTGAGTGTTACTATGGCCGTCCTTGGGAGACTGAAGTGGTCTCGCCTGCCTTTTTATATCATTGCACAATATCTGGGGGCATTCCTAGGGTCTGCCTGTGTGTACGCAGTGTATTTAGGTAGGAAGATAAAGGAAAGGGAAGTCTGTGATCAATTTGTTGTCAGTGACTATTTCCTCAATACATGCACTTAAAGACTTAAGATTTATAAAATCTGCGATTTTCATATTATTTATTCATTCATTCATTAACCTTTAAATTTGTCTATTTATTGAATAAGAAAAGAAATGACTGAGAAATTAGGAGCAATAAAAATATTACTCTCTTTTACAGACGCACTGACAGAATTTGATGGTGGTGTGCGTAAAGTGACGGGCAGTAAAGCCACTGCAGGGATATGGTGCACTTTTCCCCAGCCTGAAGTTACTACTATTACTGGGTTCATAGACCAGGTGAAATACACGCAGCCTTTTGAAAATAACGTCGAAATGTCATGCCATGCTCCTTAAGTAATGTATATCTTTATTGTTACCTGAAAAATATTCCATCGTCTCTATCTGTTAATATGTTTGCTATATATGGAAGCTGTAATTTGATGAAAACTTACGCAGTAACTAAATGGTTTACGCATCTGAAGAAATTTTCTAAATTCCTTATGTGAATTGTAAATGAGAAGGCTGCCAACTATCAAGGTCCTCGGTTGGTACTTGATAAAAATAGCAAGAGTAATCCATGTTTTTTTTAACTCTTTGATTCATTGTATAAAAACGGTGACTGGAAAGTCAAAACTCTAAATCCAGTCAGAGAACATCCTGGGCTAACTTTTGATATTCCACAGGTGTTTGGTACGGCCTTACTGTTAAGCTGTATCCTCGCCATTACCGACCGAAGAAACATGGAAGTGCCTAAACCGGCCGTGCCGCTGTTGGTGGGGCTTCTTGTTTTGGCTATAGGCGCAGCATTCGGCTACAATTGCGGTTACGCGATAAACCCGGCCAGAGATTTGGCACCAAGGATCTTTATAACGATATCTGGATGGGGAGCGGAAGCATTCAGGTACATGTAAAACGTGTAGCAGCATTAGTCACTGTCAGGCCAATCTTGCTTCGTTTTAACAAAAAAAAAAATATAACATTTTTGCTAATAACTGAGGTAGATGGTTTTATTAGAGTCACCTGTTTTGTAATTTAATAAACGGACATGACAAAAAGAAGTTGCATGTTATGATTTTGAGTGAACAAAGACTTGCTAAAGTGCTTCAGATGTGTAATTGGAATGAACATATATACGTATATTTAGTGTAGTAGACAAAAAGATAGGTTTTAGTTAAAACGGCGCTGGCTGCGACTTCGGTTTCAAAGGCTAAAACTTAACCCACCCAATATGGACTCTGAATTGCAGCTTGAGAGCTAGCCTGTCAGATTTTGTTTAATCAGAGACGAATCAAGGCGGACTAAGTTATTTGTGTTCAAAGAGGGTCCAACATGCGCAAAGATTATTTTAAAAACTTTTTCTCTTACCATTGGCGGGGAACACAGTAGATCCTGTATCCCTTAGCTTCCGAGGTTCGCAATTATCCCCATCCCAAAAAGTATGACATGCGAAACGATACAAAACCAAGAAATGTTTACACACTTGTGCCCTACATATCGCATTATATTTGTCCTCGTCTGTTTTTTCTCATTGGTCGAGTGAATTGGAGCAAATGTTATCTACTTCTCCCGAGCAAAAAAAAAAAAAAAAAAAAAATGAATCTGCCAGTGCTCATTTCACATTCGATTATGGTATTACATTGTACTTAGTGGCAAATAAGGCCCCATATGTCTACTTAAAACGACGTAAGTCCGATCAAGTATTGTGCAAAGTCTAATTTGCTATCGTAGTGAAAATTTCAATGTTGGAATTACAACTAAAATACGCGTTTATTCGAATCAGTTGCCATTGAACTAACAGCTGATATTTGAAGGAAAATCTTTTTGATGCATGAGAAAGTCACTCTGAGATTCAGAGTTTAACTGAACCCATTTTGGCCTCCCGAATAGCTTTAGATGAGAGTACCCAACAAATTCTGAAACTTTGGGTCAACTAAGTTAGTTGATGATAGGACGGATGTTGCATCTCAATGTATCACAATGCATCAAACCCTTCAAATAAAACGATCGCTCCAGTCCTAGAATGAGATTGATAACATCGTGCTTGGGAACCTCTTGGTGATAAGATTCGATTAAAGGATGATGAAGTGCGAATCAAGCCCACTTGTGCATTTCTTACTCCTGCGGCATGGTTTACGTACACGTTAGAAATTTTAAATGAAAATATCAATATTATACGAAAGTAACAGAGGTACACGTACTTTAAGGTAATTAAGAGCAACAATTGGGCGTTTGCGTTAAGACAAGAAAACAACACGTTACTATATAAATCGCGATGAATGATTCGTATATGCCTTCGGAATATTTTATGTTGTATGTCGTATAGAGTTGATTGCAAATTATAAATTTTTTCTTTGCAGTTTTAGAGAATACAACTGGTTTTGGGTACCAATAATTGGGCCTCATGTTGGCGCCTTACTGGGAGCATTTATTTACCAGATTTTCGTGGGATTACATTGGCCTGAAGACTACGATCTGCCTGAAGAGAACAACATTATGATTGAGCCTTCTAGGGGGTTTGAGAACGGTGGAATAGGTAAGGTGTTCTGCTACAGGTTTGGCCCACCGTTCACATATTCACTAAAATAGTTGTGACAGCAATGAGCCCTCGATATCTGCAAGTGCGGTCAACAAAACCTGAGAGGGCGTTGGTACAGAAATTTTAGAGGCAAAAATTTGCACATATAGGAAAATGGCATTAATTCAATTAATGAAAAGGGATTTTGCCGGTGACATTCAATGCAGTTGATAAATGTATTAAGGCACTGTTAAAGGGAAGACTACTTATCCAAATTATTCTTGGCCTGGAAATTATTCTTTTGATTTTTCAGAAATGGACATGTCTCTGCCAGATCCAGGAGAAAGACTCTAGCAGAATGATCCATTCCACTTACATGCAAATATCAGTATTGAAAGTAAGCAAACGTCTCACTGAGGCTTGTTGACAAAGATGCTGCCATCTTTGAGCAAATGTCCTTCGTGAATGCATAAATATAACGCAGGGTTGTGAGAACATAAATCGAACATACTTCGGATCTTGGTTCCACGTTGATCATTCAAGGTTCAAATGTCTGTATTAAGACCAGGATGTTTTCAATGGGTAAAATGTCCGGTGTGCTTCGACCATAACACCTAACTATTATGAGAACGATTAATTGCTTTTATTGATATCCGTCCCCCGGTCCAGGAATGATAATAAAGGCCAAAGTCCACCAGTGTATTCCTAGTGACAGATGCATGGAATGATCATGTGTATATAACTGTTTTAACTGATCGGTATTCAGCACATTTTCAATTATAAATAATTGCTGATAACATGATAAACAAACTGGTCTATTCATTTTAAATAGCATAAAATGGGCGGACGGGGGAGGTGATCGTTGTTTTTTGTTATTCTTCTTCCGTCACTAACCCCGTTTCCTGGTCCACCTACACTATGGGCAACTTCTGTCGGTCTGATAAAATGACAGGCCTACATGGTATATCAGAAGGCTCATTATTTAAAGCTAAAAATCAAGCAGAATATTTCTTGACAAGTATTTGTAAATGTATACGCTTATTACAGGAAATCAAGGACGTAAAAATACTCTGGTTCCACCTGTGCATATTCCCTGTCAAAGTATAGTCTGCCTATATGAAGCTTGATATTTTTATATGCATCTAAAAATCTTTTAAAGTACTATTATCATGACAAGGGTTTTTTATTTTGAGTTTGTACATACGTGTAAGCTGCGATATTTCATTTATTTTGTTATTTACATCTCTTTTGGCTATCCCGGTTCGTCAGACTTTTCAACCTACAAATCTTCGGAAACTTACTTGACCAAAATAACCGCAAAGTTCAATGCTTTTTTTTATTTATTGTGTATATATAGCACTTTGTAATGAACAAAGATATCATGAGACAACTGGAACACGTTTCCATGTAAATTTAAATAAAAACGATGTGATTCGTGAACTGACTGGTTGTTCGACTTGTTTGGTGCAGGGGCGAAACCCACCCCTCCCTGACGGTGCTCTCAAACTTAGAAGTAATCTTCAGAATTCAGAGGCGAAACAGTTGCGCCACTGAGCCGAGGACGACAAGAAGTATACTGAACAAAAATATAAACGCACGAAAGAATATGTAGATTTATTTTCATATATGGAACTAGAGTATATAGCCAAAAATAACAGCATATTTTTCTCGACAAATAGACATCACTTTGAGAGCATTAGGGGAAGTTTAAATGCATAGTCCAAGAGTTAGGGCATCAAATACACCATGGGGGTCAACATCCTGAGTTCACAGACACCATTAAATTTGTGCAGAGCAGTACACTAGCGGCGCATGGACATCACTAAGTTGTCAATAGAGGCCTAAGGGATATTATCCCATTCCTCCTGGAGTGCTTCTTGCAGTTGGCGAACATTTTCGAGAGCTGGAACATGATGGCTGAAAACTCTGATCCAGAACATTCCACAGGTGTTTGTTTGGCGACATGGTGCATGAGGGTGGTTCCTTATGCTACCAGTGTCTCTGAAGCGTGTCCCAAGACGGCTGACAGTGGAATGATTGCCCATTCAGGCATGCTGCAACTTCTGTTACTGACAAGCCAGCATTGAGCATGCTGACGGCATGCTCCCTCATGGTTCCAGACATCTGTGGCATGTTGACAAGTGACAGAAATACACATTTTGGTGTGTCCTTTTATTGCCTAGACGGTAGAGAGTGTCCGAGTATTGGTCTTGCAAATTGACCTCTACTCCGTCATGCTCCATTAGTCTTATGGGTGTAAAAACTGAACCTTTGAGTATACTCACGGGGAGCGGCCAAGTGAAACCAGACCACTATAATTGATCAAAACAAATTCATCAGTTCACAAATAAACCATCAACCTGGGCATATTTCATAATTATCCATTTCAACTGACCATTTTAGTTTCGTGCGTTTATATTTTTGTTCAGTATATATAGGAAATTTTATACAAAGTCTGATGAATATAACTTTTTCCCCTTTAAAACAATAAACGTTTCGAAATAATAAGGTATTGCAAAAGATTTTGCTAAATTTGATGCTCAAAGCCACCCAAATGGCAACAAGATTTCAAACTATCAAATTAAAGTGACAAGCTCCACTTAAAAACCTGTATGGGTTAGTTATGACAACATTTCTGACTAAAAGTGCACAAAAAATATTAGCAACAGTTTTATCTCAAAGTTGCAACCACTCTTCAAACAGATTAACCCAACATCTAGTTGCACTTCTACATTTTAGTGTATCACAGGGCAACTTTCCTTGGGTATGAGGATACAGGTGTGGTTATTGTAGCCTCTACCCGAGGTGTGCGGTTGCCCCCCAATACCTTATATAAATATGTGAGTAAAGAAATGAATTAAAAACGAAACATGATTGAATATATAAATAGAAATCTTCAAAGCTGAAAACCATGTTTGTTTGTTTTTTTTTTTCAATTTTATTTATTCACTGAAACACAACATAACTATCAGACTTTTTACTCCAGATTAATGTCTGATCATCTGGCAACTGTTACTGTCAACCAAAATCTTGGCAAGTTTGTACTATCCTCCCAAGTTAATATTACTATTATTATTTCAACCTGAAACCAGCAATGATGCTCTATCCTCTGTACAAGTAGATGTATTTGAAGTTATTTTCACAAACAAAAGTAGATTTGAAGTCCCATTTACATCCTTGTTGAACTGTATGGCTAGTTGGGTTGAATGGCCAAAAATCAGTCTGGTGAAACATTTCTTCTATCCTAAGTGTTAGTGCTTCTAAAACAACCACTGTAAAAAGTCAACCTATAAAGGAAAATAAATCACATGTAACAGTAGGTTAATGTGAGCTGACTTTATATATGATATGCTTCATATACGATATGCTTTAAACATCAAGGACTTCATGATTTATTTGCATAGCACATTACAGATAATATAATACTTATCAATTTATTAATTACATACTTAATAAATCTAAGTTAATTCTAACATTCATCAAATTCACGAGAGAAGTACACTATTTTGTAAAACTGATCAAAATTAATGAAATCCCTCCACTTATCCCCAGCTACTTACCCTTGTCACTATAATACTACAGTCATAACTAACTAGCAGAGCTCTCTTCAAATTTCTTGTTATAATATGGAACCTTCTCCCAGATGACTTTCCAATCTGACAACCATACGATAAATAGTGTGGTTGCAAAGCCATAGCCTGCTATTGAACCTGACCTGAAATGGATTTAGAGCAATAATGAGCTATCAGACCCAACAGCCACTGATATAACAAGGACTCTTCAATCTATCTAGTACAATCAATCACTTTATTGCACATGCTCTTGGATGAATACATATTCACTCTGATATGACCTAACCAATAATACAATAGGAACTAGTGAATATTAAATCATAATATCATGAAAATATAACTAGTTCCAAGTCACTTCAATGCTTTGAAATTCATCACTTTTCATTGATTTTGGGAATTTTCTTGTGACAGCATTTGTACATATCAAAGGGAAGAATCAACATGATACCCAGTTTTTGTTAAAGCAATAATAACTCTTCCTTTGAGATTCAAAATTCCGCAAGAAATACATTGTAAACAACGCCTGGAAATATATTCTGTTGCATTTTCCCACTAAAACGACTGTTATTGTAGTAAAACTAAAATCTGTGCTTGTCACTTGGGCTTTCGATGCTTTCTTCGCGGTCGACAAGTGCATCCGTTGCTAATGACGTAATGGTGTCACGCGGATTCTCGCGTTCATTCGAGACCAAAATAACATGGCGGGAAACCCTCAGACGTAAGTTGCGAGTTTTTTACAGTGCGTCGGATAACGAAAAGCCCAGAATTGCACACATTGTAGATATAAATGCATTTTGAGCAAAAAAGACGAATATATCTTATGAATCTTATAATATTGTTATATAGTGTTGTTGTCTGCTTTTCCCGCGGTTTTAAGTAGGTCACTAGAAACTATCGCTCGATACGAGAGGGCTCCGTCAGTTAAAATCTCTTAAGAGATTTTAACAAAAAACCATACGTTTAGGAAAAAAACCCTGGATTAACTTTGAATGCAGGAATGGGGTCGTTGACCATTGGTAAGTACGGGAAAATTGCCGTTTTTTCCAGGAAAATCGTATTTTTGGCCAAAACGAAGAGTTATTATGACTTTAACTTAACAATATTTTGTGGAACAACTACAGGTAAGTTCATCTCTAGGTGTCTACTGCACATTGGGGCATTTCATGGCATTTGTCTTGCATTACAGATTTTAGCTCTTTAAAATTGTATTTTACAAAATCTATAACCGTGTTTCACACAAACAAAGTTCAAATTTGGCAAGACTATTGATAGATGCAAGCCTAAACTTCTGACTTTAAGATTTCAAAAAATATTTCTCAGTTTTTGAGGGATAGTGACATAGACACTGCAGACAGAAAAAAAGATAGACAAGTTTTTTATTACTGAACTTTAACATTAAAAAGTTACCTGCTCTGTTAGAGAATTGGGATGAAATATTTCATTATTGTATTCATTAGAAATGTAAAAGATGAGTTTTGAAATACTTTTTGAGTTTTGAAATATCTTTATTAAATTTTTTTATGTTGTTGTTGTTGTTTTGTTTTGTTTGAAAGATGATGTGTAATTACAGATGGAAAATCATAGTACAAGTAGGCAATAAGGGAATCTGTAGCAATAACACCGATCCATCTGTAACATTGATCTGTAGCAATAACATTGATCCATCTGTAACATTGATCTGTAGCAATAACATTGATCCATCACGAAATGTCACAGTGCTGAGCACTTATACATTACAAATCGAAATCCATTTTCTTGTGGAAAGATAAATAATATCTAATATGGATTGTCCTTTGCTTGAAAAAAAAAGAACATTTCTAAAAAAGAATCTAGTGTACAAGTTTGCTTGCAGTCAACTAGCATGGTTTCAGAACAACAGCCTATCCTCCTGTCATCTTTAAGTGATTAAAATCAGTAATAATCATAACTAGTCATCTTTCACATACATATTACTGGTAAATGATAGATACCCCTGATCAAAAATAAATAAATAAATAAATATAAAATCCCAGTTTGTAGATATAACTAGCACTATTCAGGTTAGTAACACTACTACTAATGTGGGTGTTGTTACTGTTGGGGGCAACCAATGCATAACCCTGTAATGGCGTACATGGCATAGGCTCTGCCTCAGGGGTCATATGAAACTGGGTTTATGAAAAAGCAACCATGCCACTTTTTTTTTTTTTTTTTAACAGAGGTCAATAGACGTCCGGTTTGAACCCCTAAGCCTATGTCAAGTCTGGCATTACAGGGTTAAGTATGGCCTCTTGGGACTGTACAGCTGGACATAGGCATTTAGGACTGATTCTGTATTCATATATCAGATTTATAAACAAAGAAGGGGATGTACCTTTAAAGATTCGTCTTAGTTTCACCAAGTTTGAGACTGCTGAGATGTCTGGTTCTATTTTATTTGGATTGTTATTATTGTCCGTTTAGGGTGATTCTGTTTCACAAGCTTACCTTGAATTACTGTCTCTGTTGGTTTGGGGGGGGGGGGGGGTAGGGGATTTAGCGTCATTCATTTTGCGTTCAATGATGTTGATCACGGGTCTATTGCGATATGATAGACTTGTATGGCAGTCTAAGGTCGGTTTTTAATTAAGCATACGACGCTCGTTTACTTACCAATCAAGGTGACAGTCAAGCGTTGGGCCAACGTGACAATTTAAATTTTCGGTAAAATTAATGCTATGCCGCTCACCACAAAAAAACCTTTATACTTAAAATCATTGCTTCATTAGTGTTTTTCAAATCAGCAGATTTGATGGGCCATATGAAAACCCATAAGTTTTACTGTTCTAGATACATTGGATTCGGCAAGAGTTAGGTCCCTCGTTGGATTCAGCTAGGATTCAGCAAGATCGTGAAAATATTGAACAGTTCCTTTAGTGGATGCTAAGCAAAACACCTTAATACCATGATCATTAGGCAGGTCATTTGGTTATATTTGTTCACGATACGTACCAGTTTCGTACCGCCCTCTTGGCTAAATGTTTGGAGGTAAAACCGAACGGCATTTTTATATTTTTGAGGAATTTGATGCCTTATCCTTTCGCCTTTCGACACTTCCGGTTGCTGTGTGCGCATGCGGCGTCCTCTCAGTCAAGACTGTCTGGATATTGTGTTAGATGCGATTTTAGAAAACGCAATTGTTGTGCACTGTCACACCTATTTCAACCATCACTGCCAGGTACCTAACACTGTTAGCCAACTGTCAGAGCATTAAGTGGACAGGCTCTTAATCTGTTTCTCCCCAGTTTAAAATGAATTTCTCGTTAGAATCTATCATGAACAGTTATCTAGTAATATCTTTGATAGGGCATTACATACGATGAAGTGAAGTGTGTGATGAATGCCGGTTTTATTGAATTTTCCTCCAGTAGGCCTAGGCCTATCGTCGCTATATTGCAAGTGCATGTTCTTTGTAAAAGAACTGATAGACCTTAATTGTGTCAAGTTTAATAAATTGTCTAGCGAGCTTAGTTACACTCTGATATCAAGGGCTTCTGAAATAGAATACAAATTAAAATTTCAGCGATACTATATAATTTGTTAAAGACTACTCGCGCCCTTGGTCAGAGAGATAAGTGGGGTCATCTTTTTGCGATACTCCCTTTACTCCTGGCTATGCCATATATGTTCAAAAGTGAACAACATAGAGTGAACAACATAAAGTGAACAACACAGGTCCTACAATAAATGCAGCTCAGTAGCGGTTTGCTGCTCAGGCGTTGGTCTATCAAACGGTAGATTAATAGTGGATTAAGACATTTAAAAAAGTAAAGTTATACGAAGAACAAGATGACATCTAGAAAACTGATGGAAAAATGAATACATGTATATTTTGACTCACAGCTCACCTTTGATAAGCATTTATATGAACTTTTCAAGAAAAGTGCCTGCCAGTTAAATGTATCATGATTAAGAAAACTCTCATCATATCTGGACGCTCCAAGTAAACTCTGCATATTCAGCATATGGATAATGATATATTTAAACTGAAATGATGATGTCTCAATGTAAACTTAATTAATTACCAGCTATAATCACGTATCATACTACTAGTATGCCAGCTGATAGGCCTTATTTTCCTGTAGTAATTTTAATCAATAGAAGTAGTTAGAAATAGTAGTAGTAAACATTGTATCATTATCTAACTTATTCTGTCGGTGAATAGCTACTCAGCAAATGTTTGTACTTTCATTCTTTCCGACATGAAATAAACTGTAGCCTATTGTATTGTATTGTATTGTATTATAGTGTATGTAGTTCAACAGAGTTCAAACTTGTCAACCCAGGGGCTCTGTTTAAAATACTTACTATGAGATTTTAATAAATCTTGCATCAACTATGATATATCCTTAAATCCAAGCAAACGACCTTGGTTTTGTGTTACATATACCCATCACCATGTAAAGTACCCCCACCCCTTACACCCATTGCAGGGCGTCTTGGCACGGACAAATGGGACGAAACGTCATCGTGATGCCACGAGAGTATCCCCTATTTCTGGTTTGACCTGTACGTAGAATCATGGCAAGCGCATCGCAGTGTCAGCCTATGAGAACGTTTTCTACCTATTTCTTATCACCTAATTTCTAGATAGTGCAAAGAGTCGAGGTATGGCCCGATAACCAATATCTCAAAGGGCGTCCTTTGCACTTCGATAACAGTGTCACAATAGTCATGTGAGGAAATGTAAGATACAAGTAGCACCCTTTAATATCACGGTTTACAACTTATAGTGAACTCAGGAGACTTCAAAAAACAGTGACACTGTGGACACTGAACCGACAAGGTATGTGTGTGGTGAGATGATGGCTTAGGCCTGTACTTGAACTAGATAATAAACATTTTTTTTAAATTTTGAATGTGACATTCTTTGAATGTTGCGGTTTTGGTAAATTCAGTCAAGTAGAGCTTATGTGTTTATGTAATATGTGATTGAAATGTATTTAAAACTGCAAGTTTTAAAAATCCTATTTTCAGTTTTCTGGAAAATGTCAACATCATATAAATAGGTCCAAATCTTCTGATCTAGATCGTCTAATAGATTGACTTTTAACTTTAAGATGCAGCACTTACTCATCCTATCCCTGGTTGTGCTTGGGGTGTGCGGATCTCTCCCAAACCAACTCCTAGACAGTGAGTGGGAACAGTATAAAAGACATTATGGAAAGAACTATTTTGCAGAGGAGAGCAGATACAGGTAAAATGATTGGGCCAAATAAGGTAAACATTAAGGGTGGAGACATCATTTTGTTCCTCCCTTTTCTGTGTGTGATATTTGCCTTGTTCTCCACTGAAAACCCCCAGTCTGTCGAGGGAAAGTTACTAGTGATGTATTTTAATTCAGTTTTCTTTTATTATGATTATCCGTTTGTATTATCAATATAAAAGGACTCGATGACATTAAATAAATTTACCCTGCTTTGATTTTGATATGGCCCTGATTATGTTAATCTTTTGCTCTCAGCACCATGTTTGCAGGTTATATCCGGACCTTTTTTTACAGTTCATAAACAGTCCTTGAGAAAAACAACATCTGCCTTTTCACGACTTTGGGCCTTAGTTCCCTCTTTTTTAATTTCTTCTCCTTTCAGGCGTCTTGTCTGGGAAAGAAATCTTGCCTACATTGCCAAGCACAACCGTGAATTCGATATGGGAATCCATTCGTATACATTGGGGCAAAACGAATATGCTGATATGGTAATAGACCTTTGTCTCTAAATCTTCTTTAAATAGCTTTAAACTGTATCACTGACAAAAATAATGAAATTTTTTGCTCATGTGTCACTGAGGTTTTAAAAAACAACCGCCTCTGTAAAGTATTCTGTTTTTATCGAAAAGGTATGCTCTTTTACATGTTTCATAAGGCAGCCACTTACAGTCGTATACATGTATAAGTATAGCATCACTCTTAGTATTTTTTTCAGCTAATAATTGTTTATCCTTTTTTTTGTTTGAATGAAAAATGACATATTTTCCATCTTTCATTTTCGATGCCTTCTTTTCACTAAAAGTCACATGCAGTGTGGAATTTTTCCATTCAGACAAGTGAAGAGTTCGTTGCCCGTATGAACGGTTATAGGATGAGAAACGTGACGAGAGGAAACCTTCACATACCAAAACGTGGTGTACAGGTCCCAGACAGCATAGACTGGAGAACACAGGGATATGTCACTGAGGTCAAAAACCAGGTATATTTGCTCTCTCTCTCTCTCTCTCTCTCTCTCTCTCTTGTGCATATATTTGGTCGTTTTGTTCAACTAATTTTACAAGTACGATACATTGGCTCTTTACCCTCGTCTTTAATCTCTGACCACAGGGTCCGTTAGTGTGTTACAAAAATGTTGACTGGCTCACAGTGTAACTTTGTATACTATTTTAGGAGCCCCTGACATCAAAGGGTATCTTCTATCATCTTGTGTAACTTTCACGAAAAAATCTTCTGCGTGTAAATATATCAAGTCAAGAAAAACACCACTACTCTTGTGTACCCTCTACCAGGGCCACAGATTGATTTTTCACTTGATCTTAACGGATATGTCTCTGGTTAAATAGATGGCTAATCTCTGCACTGTGAGCAAATATGTCCGCAATAATAACTGCGGCCCTGGTAGAGGGTAACTCTTGTGCCCCTTCCTATGAGCATGCTAATTTGCTTTGCATGTTGCCTTGAATTTTTTTTTTTTTTTTTTTTTTTTTTTGCGATATTTCACTTTGTTTCATAAAGTTCTAATTTCGGAGTTAAAAAGTTTTTTTAAAAATCCTGTTACCGAACTGTTTGAGGACCACGAGGAAGATAAAGTGTAGATTTACCCTGTTTTTACTCTTTGAAATTAAGTTTGACAAATAGATAATATCGATTTATGGCGAAATAACCCTTCCCCATCAAAATAAAATACCTAGATAAGTACTGTGTAAAGTGCGATGCACCAGTAATGCGTACAAAGATATGTGAATAGAGGAGTTATAAACTGCAGCGTCACCACAGATTTAATACATAAATATTCAACTAATCCAGATAAATAAGTTACGTATCACCTTGTTGATTAGATATATCATCAGAAATATAACAAGTACCCTTGACCTGAGAAGGCTACCATTGTTCCTTGCCATTAAACGTCTGAGAATCATTTTCTGTCCACGATGAAAATGCGGCGTATCATTTTCACGTCACGTGTGATAGTCCTGATTTATTTTTAAAGTTGTATGTCAGAGAAAACTGATAGGTTTGTTAACAACTCTGTTCAAACGGAATTGGTAGACAATAGTTATTTCTTTTTGTTTTTAAGGCATACATGTATGATGTCTATTGGAAATGACAGCCGACTAAATTTTAGGTCTCTCTCTCTCTCTCTCTCTCTCTCTCTCTCTCTCTCTCTCTCCTCTGTGTGTGTGTGCGTGCGTGCGTGCGTGTGTGTGCATGTCTGCGTGTGTTTAAGAAGCAGGGTGTCACATCCACAATGTGGACAGTTTTTTAGCATAAACGCATCGCATTAAGGTGTATTGTCAATTTGCCCAGTCACCAACCCAATACCCACTGCATTTTAACTAACTTATCAATGTTATCTTGCATTATCCTGGTGGAGGGGGGGATCAAATATAAGCCAGTTCCCTAAGTTATTTTGATAATAATAATGGTTAACATCGGTTCTACGTGGTTACGTCAGTTCTGAGATAGTTTTGCATGCACTTATATTGACACTGTCAAAAGAAAGATCTGAGATGGATTTCAATTGCAAATGCTCAGTGATACATAAAAAATATTTTTTCTGACATGGTACATACACGCAAAGATTCCTACGTTTTGGTTGTAGGGCTCTTGCGGTTCGTGCTGGGCCTTTTCTACCACTGGTTCCTTGGAAGGACAGCACTTCAAGAAAACTGGGAAGCTGGTTTCACTGTCTGAGCAGAATCTTGTGGACTGTTCCAGAGCCGAAGGTAAGACTGCAAACACTGGCGATAGGATTGCGAAGAAAAGAGGGTGATCTCAAGACTCTGAAAAAAAATCAAGTTGATGTACTGGTATTTTGTAGGAAGGGTACCGGTAGAACAGGGAACAGTTCAAGTTTAAATAAAATTTCTTTCATTTCATGTGGAAATGGTATAGACAATATGAGGAACATTCTCAGGCTTTTTAAGAAATATTGACATCTAATGCAAAATTCAATATACAATAAATCCCAAACCATAAACAATTATCAATTAAAGATCGATTCCCCGTCATCTGAAAAATGACCTCATTGTCACATTGTGACAAATGTTTCTATATATTTAGGTAACCAGGGCTGCCAAGGTGGCTTGATGGACAACGCCTTCAACTACATCAAGAAGAACAACGGGATCGATACTGAAGAATCGTACCCCTACAAGGGAACTGTGAGTTGACGGTCATTAGTTTTGATTTTATAAAAGCGTGTCTGTAAGATCTCATTCCGACGTTTGCGAAAGCTGAGATAATAAACTAAACCTTTTTATTTGCTGTCGATTACTATAAGTATCAGCATAAATCTGTGACATCGTTTAGATCTCCAACCAGACTATTCTTGCTCGAAATTAAGATAATAATTCACATAATATTACATTTTTTCTCCAGAACGGTCAGTGTCACTTCCAGGCGTCAAGCGTTGGCGCCACATTGACCAGTTACACGGACATTAAGAAGGGCAGCGAGGATGACTTGCTGAATGCTGTGGGCACTGTAGGACCAGTCTCTGTAGCCATTGATGCCAGCCATTTGTCTTTCCAGTTGTACAGGTAAGTCTAATAAGCAATTTGTTGACCTCAAAACCCACTTCCAGAGCAAAACATGTTACATCTCAAAAAGAGTATTTCATACCTTAGATGCACGAGCATCATTTTATTTTCATTGTGAATTAACTATGTTTATTTTTAAATAAATGATCCCTTTGTCAAATATTCCATTCGGACGCTTGAAATAGCAAACTGTTTCACCGGGTGCAACACGTACGGAAACACTCTGCTTGGAATGCGTTAGTTGAGATATTTCAATTTCAAATGCTATTGCTTCAAATTTCAGATCTGGCGTGTACGATCCTTTTTTCTGTAGTTCTACGCGCTTGGATCACGGCGTTCTTGCTGTAGGATACGGCAGTGATAATGGCAGGAAGTACTGGCTGGTGAAAAACAGGTGTGTTGCAGTGAATTTAATTGCTATCACTCGTCTTTAATTGCGCTCTTTTGAAATACCCAGGACCTTTCACACGGCTTCATTAATGAAGTGCTTTTTTATTTTCAAGTGATGCCATATCGTATTTCAATAGCAATATCTAGAGATACATCCAAATAAATTCACTGAAGGGTAACAGAAAGGTCACATGTACAATGAGCGTAGGAAAAATTTTAAACCTCACTTCACCTTGTGTCAGTGTTGTATTGATTCGCGCTTATAAACCACTTTTAACAAAGGCGTTCTTTGACACCTTACAGAACAGCTTGCATATATCATTAACAAACCATTGTTTGCTAACAATCAGTTTTTTCTTTCCATAAAAGAAAAAAAAGGACTACGATTTTTAGTTTTTACTTTTAAGATATTCTTTTTTTTTTTCCAGTTGGGGAAAAACATGGGGCCAGAAGGGATACATCTGGATGGCGCGAGATGCTCGCAACAAGTGTGGTATTGCCACTTCTGCCAGCTATCCAGTTGTCTAGTTTTGTGACCATTTAAATGACCAGCGTTCATTTTTCTTAAGAAAACGCCTTTTCTCTATGCCACCTGTTATCAGTCTGAGGGACAAATCAAAGATCAAGTAATGCCAAAGCAATTTTGAACCAGGTGTGCTATTAGGACAATTCATTTATTCCATGTACATGTAATTTTTTTTACTTTAATCAGTTTGAGAGGAACTTCAGTCGTTCAAACACTCTTGTATGTGATTAGCTTCTTCTTCACATTGACAGGTACTCTTCAGTTCTTCACTCCTGGAAATCAGTCTCAAGATATGAATGTCCGCATATCTGAGGCCAAAATTTGTTTTTACTTCGTCTTCCACGCCATACAATTTTAATGTTTGCACGGAGATATCACCGTCTGTTTTGTTACAGTATGTGTTCAACTTATAGGTGAAGCTTTTCTTTCACCTAGCACTGTATTAGTATACTAGTAAGCATGCTTAAAGGCACAAAAAAAATTAACCTAGGCATATGGTTTCCAACGATGAAAACCTTTAAACAGAGAATAAATCCATATTTCAATTATTTGTACTTTTTCAAAATTGTTTTATTTTGAACTTTACCTTACTATGTATTTATGACAGATTTTGACAAATGTGGAATTTGCACACCAACAGGAAATATATGCACTTTGTTTCGCTTGAGATAAACAGCTTTACAGAGAATATTTAATGAATAATGGTAATTTAAACCCATTAATAGACGAATTCAATAGAAAAACGCGATTTACCTTTTGCTATTTACATAATTTGTTAAGGGGAGATGAATGCATCCCCGTAGATCTCTCTCTCTCTCTCTCTCTCTCTCTCTCTCTCTCTCGTTGTTTTGTGTGTATTTGTGCACTTGAGAATGTGTGTATTTTATAATTAGAAAAATTCCCTGGTTTAAGGATAACTCTAAGAATAAGGCAGATTTATTTGACAAAATCACACTGATATTTACTAACCATGATAGAAAGGGTACGCTGTTTTAGCTGAAACAAATTAGTTACGAATCATTTCTGTATTACATTTTCTTTGACAACAAGGGGCGTTTTTTCCACTGCCAGTCAGGCAAAACCTTCTCGATTAGAATTTTTGTATAATGGCTCTTTCCTGGTGGCCTGGTGGATATTTTGAGGTTTTAATGAAAGTAAAATGTCTTATGGAACCAAAGAACATTTTATTTTTGCACTGATAGTCTAACTTAAAACGTTAACTTATACTTAAAATTATGCACTGAATGATTTTGACACTTACAACCCCACACACATATTTGATGACAAATATCGGTTTAGAAGTTCACAAACAAATTTTGGACCCGATCACGCACATGCAAACAAGCACGTGCTTGGACACACTCGCGAATGTGCAATCACGCCCTCTAATGAACCTGGCGGTAATGGTTCATTAGATGCTTATTCAACCTTCTCTATAAGAATTTTTGTGTGACGCGCGAAGACTAATGGCTCTTTCCAGGACATTAACGAACGTCGTTTTTTCATCTGGTTGATATAATGAGGAAATAATGAAGGTGAATGTCTTGACGACAGTAATGGAGCATCAATATATCATCTTTTTCTTTACCGCTATGTGATCCCGCGTTTGAGTTGACATTGTTTTGTAGGAAGCAAGAGCACCCACGTTTTCATTTTTTAAAAAAATTTATTACTAAAATTAAATCCCTTTTTACCAAACTAATTCTCTGGCATGGCTTTTTAAAACATATTTTCCTTAAATAAGTTTATTGATTTATTGTTGTAGTCTTCTATTGAGTAGAATTAAGACAACATTAGATTTCAAATAAATCTCAAGAAAAACTAATCAGACATATCACTAAACTATATCATTAATAATCATTTTCTGATTATAAAGACACCAAACATAATAATATTTGCAGCCTTTAAAAAAACAAGCATGCCGATACTAGTATGTGATACATTTTGAACATTCCACACAATTTACTTGACTGAGTGTGTATATAAACTGTATATAAACACCAAATGTTTATTTAAAATATGTCTTTTGGATTTAAAGCACTTTTTATGTCAAAAATTAATGGTAGCAGCACAGGAACACTATTTCGTAACGATGTACTCTTTAAGAATGGAATTAACCAGACGCTCGAATCTGCTTATACCTGTCTGTTGGGCTAAATTTATAACTACATAGTACATGTTATTTAAGCATGCACACGACACTGATGGTGTTAACAAAAAAGGGTTTCAAAACCGATCAAAACATCTATATTTTGTGTTACGCGCGCGCGCGCGCGTGTGTGTGTGTGAGAGAGAGAGAGAGAGAGAGAGAAGAGAGTAACGACTTGTGGTCTTATCTGTAAATGGCACTTTAAGCAAGGCAAGCTTTACATTTTTCTGTACTGATCTACCATTACTTTTTTTTTTTACAAAAATTGATTTCAAAGCAATATGTAACAGAAAATACCCATACTCCAATTATTAAATAATTACCATAATGAATACATTTACATTTATTATTAAATATCCCCTGCTTTAACTATTTGCCCTTCTTCAATCCTTAAAAGAAAATTCCTCTCTCATATAGCTTTTATAACAATGTTTATACCAGTGAATAAAAGAGTTTAAACCAAGATTCTAGGCACTATCTTTAGTTTACTAATATTTGGCAATCGTCATCACTTTTTGTTCAGATCAAGTGGATGGTTGACAAAAGTACGGTTATCTTAACAAAAAAATCTCTTTAGTCCTATCCCTACCTCAAAGTCAAATTCAAAACCAATGCATTTTATATAAGCTTTTACTAGGTCTAAAAATACCCAGAGCACAAAAATATTTCACCTGGTGGGCTGATTTAAAATTTACAATTTTGTCGGATATCCATTGCTTAAACTATTATCCATGTATCTAAAATAGTTTATTTAGTGTCATGTTCCATTCATTAAGTTCAGTTATTGTGCAAGTGGTCCTACCTTATTCTTTCTACAAACTAACTTTAAAAAATTCAGTCGAAATTGCTTTCCGCTAATACAGTACAAAATAAAGTTAACCGAATGATTAAGATAGTTGAGCATCAACACTATTATTCTGATCAAACCAAACACTGCCTTGTCGTAATCGGTTTCAATAGCACGGTACCAGTGCGGGCTGACAATACCATGAAGAAAGCTTGGGGTGGCGAGAACAAGAAAAGTGATGGAAACAGTCACTAACATGACGGTCATCTGGGTGACTCGCTTTTGATAAGATGAACCTTCATTACTTGGCGCAGCTATGTTGTTTGATGTTCCGGGAGTGCCTGCTGTTTCTTGAGAATTTGGCCCATCGTCTCTGGAAGATGTCGCGATGACAGCAGCAGGAGTTGGATCCGAGTTTACACTCCCACTGTTTGCGATCATAGTTTCTCTTTTTTTGCGAAGCTGGATTACCTTTCTTATGATCAGTAGGTTATGAACGAGTATAACTAGGAATGGGCCCAAAGCATAGACCAAAAACACGATCCAGGGCAGAACATAGCTCCAAAAGAATTTATACCCTGGCGAGGGGTAGCCACACACACTCACGAGGATCGTTTTCCCGTCACCATCTGTGGCAAATTGCAGTCCACGACTCAGAAAAACATGGGCGTTTTTCAGAGCCATAGCCGTTGCTATGCAAGCAAGAGCAATTGCAGCACGTTTTCGGGTGCATGTAGTAAGGCTTTTCAGTGGAAAGTACACTGAAAAACACCTTTCCGCTGTTACAGCGACTAGAATCCACGCTGAATAGTCTAAACTAAAGTACAAGAAAAATCGTTGCAATTTGCAAAGAGAGGAGTGCAGCAATCTCACGTCTTTGTTCTGAAAGGCAATGGCGGCATGTCTGGTCAAGCCCAGCCACAGGACAGCCAAGTCGGTGACTGCCAAAACTGCCAAGTACAAAGTGGTTGAGTTCTTGCGCATCGTTTTTCTTGTTAGCACGGCAAAGCTCAAAGTATTGCCCAAAGTCCCAAATATCAGAAAAACAATTGGGAATGTTTCGTACAACGTAGCAGTGACTCTTTGGATTGCTCTTACGAAGTCGTCTTCAGCATGAGGGTCTTCAGCGACAGTTGATGCGTTGATGTAGGTGTAGTTAGACATGCTTGCAATCTTCTTTGAATCTTATATGGAGGTATTTCCTTCGTATATTTCTAAAAAAAATAGAAAAATACGTCAATTAGGCTAAAACGCGTGGAGTTTTTGCTTTGCCAGGCTCTGGTGTGGTACAGGGCGAACAGTTTCTTGCTTTTATACTCAAAGTCATTGATGCTTCACACATTAAGTTTTGCCATTTCTTTAATACTTTGTCAGGAACTGTTCTGATAAATAATAAAAACATTCATCACCCGCGATAATAATAATCAATCGAACAGGGGTCATCCCGAATTAACCTAATGAATGTAATTAACAGGAAATGACGACCGTGTCTTCTTTTCCTCTTTGGTCAATCGGCATTGATATAAAAAGATGTTTTTCACGGTGCTAATGACGGTGGCATCTTGTATCTTCTAATTACCGTTGGACTCAGTTGATTCCAGTTCTTTATTCCAGCAGGCAATGAATCTGTATTTATCACAGCTACAATCACATTTTCAAAATTGGTTTATGAGTTCACAAACATTTGATACAATTTTGGAATAAGCACTGCTTAAAATTGACACCTCAAACGCCCAGACATACATATGACAGTTCATATTCAACGTAAACGGTTTACCTTTTAATGCCTTATATTACTTTTTTCACGTACATCGTACATGTAAAACACTATTCTGAAGAAACGACTACGACAGAAATTATGCTCTAAACAAAATTTCATTCAATCAAAATATGTTAAATGAAGAAGTACACTTGTAGTTATGTGCCCTGCCAAGTGTAAAGTACGTTATTGAATTAGGCAATATACGACGAACACCTTAGCATTAATTTACTTACCAGGTGCGCACTATGCCATTTCTATCTCACGGTTTTCAACAGTATTTCCTTTGGCTCTGGCTTGACATTTCAAGTCCGATCCGACATAGAGTGAAAAAATAAAAGCACCAGTGTCGCTTTCCCTTTAAGGGTCATTATTGACTCTTTTGGTTCTAAATCATGGCAAACTCCAGAGACTTTAATGATTAATGACAAGCGCAGTTCCTCAATTATGAATGTGTCCGTCATTTTACGGGGCTGACATTTCATACGGGGTATTGTTCCATTTTCTGTTTGTGTCAAAATATTTGCAGAATATCTTTGTCAATACCTGTTTTTCGTGTTTAAGGTTTGTGGTTACCATTGGTAATGTTGGGTACATTGTTCATATTCTTTATATTCCGATAAGGCGCAAGTTTGATGAAGAAGAGGACAGCATTCAGTTCATAGTAGATGACAATCCTGCGTGTTCAATGAGCATAGAGCAGTCACAGATTCATCGGAGGGTATTCAATCTCGAGGTAGTCATTAAATAAGTTTACGAGGGAAACACCCATTAATCACGAAGACATGGGCCTTTATGGTTTATCTGACATTTTGACACCTTAGTGTAACGGCGTTTCTTGACTTTATTAACCAACTTAGCTATTGATTTCATTTAATGGACAAATCCATGCCTTAATAGTAAAGGAAGTGTCGGAATCTTTCATTCCTTTCACTTTTTGCTTCATCTGACATTTATGTCGAAAAAAATTGAATCTGCAGTGTTTTATATATTTATTGTTCTCCGTACTATTCACATGAAGAAACCCAGAGTCTTAAAATCTCAAACTATCAAATATACAGTGTTACTCCAAACGTGACTAACTTGAATCTTTTATTTTATTCTATTTTATTTCATTTTAGAAAATGAAACCACTGAATAACAATAATGATGAAAGGAAGGAGAAGAAATCGATAAGCTGACAAGATAAAAATTTTCGCTCCAGTCAGAAATTCACATTGCCTGCCAATTAAAAAAATCGAGTGTGCGTCAACCCGAAACGAAAAAAGACTACTTGCGAGCCAGTGCTCACTTCATTATTCAAAGCTACGGTGATCTTAATAATAACTCGATGTTCAATGTTCATGCAGCGACAGGTCTTTGTTGCAAATCTGTTATAAATCGATGCCAGCTGCGACATGGAAACAAATAATCATTCTCTTCAGATACACAATGCACATTGGATATATACTGCTTTAATGACTTACTGTGGGAGACAGGAACTGCATCAAGGAAATTCTGACAATGAAGTAGCAGACCTTAAAATTGTCCAAGTACCTAAATGAAGTGGAATAATAAAGCAGGATTTCCATTGCCGTAAGAGCGTCCTTGAGCTAACGATAGTGGTTGCATGTTTCGTGGAATTATAGTCACATTTGTCAGTCTTCTGCGTATTATTGTTTTATGTGTTTTTGTTTTTCATTACTGTTCGTGAAAAAAAATAAATTGGGTTCTCAAAACCTTGGTATCAGCCTGCCTCTCAGAAGTCAGAGGCCAAAGAAAAACAGCAAACTTTTTTACCGGTGTCAACAACCGTTATGTTTTATTATTGAAATAAGAAAAGAATGAGGCAAAAATGAGGCAATGCCTCCTTAACCACGAATTAAACATTTATCTGTTTAGAAAAGCGCTCCTATTTTCAACAATCATTTATCTGTTTAGAAAAGCGCTCCTATTTTCAACAATCATTTCGATCTAATAGCACCTGGAGAGTCAAGATAAAATTTAACATCATCTCCGATGCCATTTTAATGTGGTGTTGTTGTTCATTGGCTCATCTGACTCCTGTTGATTGCGTAGTTTTCAATGGGTTCATTAATTACTACGTGAGCAATTCTCCAACGCCCAAGTATCAATACCAACGTGGAACATCGTCAACATGTCTGGTTAACATTTAGTCGTGGCGGTTAGGTAACCGATTTGTCGCTGATTTGTTGTTACGATTTCAACTTGCGAGCAAATCAATATGATATCAACAAAAGTGCATTAATTTACGACATCTGGTGTATTTCCTACCATTGAAACATAACAAAAATACCTTAACCTTAATAATTTACTTACCCACTGGTGGTTTACAATATAGTCAAGATATTCAAATCGTTATTCCGAAGGCAACTACAACCTTATGCCCTTCTATCTCTATTATTTTTATTGCAGACTTCTTCCAATTATATTTGACATTTGTTTGCATTTATTTCCCCATGTATCTCATTAAGTATTTTACTGCACTCATATTCTCTTCTGTGACTTCCCTGGCGTATTTTTGAAAACCATTTGAAAACTAATCGCTGCACCTTAGTTCCCAGACTGGCGTATTTGTACCATAGGCCTAAATCGAGCCAGTTGGACTTTTCACACTATTTCTATTGTTAGTGGCTGACGATGAGAGCTTTCGGCTTAGTTTACCTACTTATGAAGAAAAATAACGATGGGCGTTAAGAAATTCCTCTTGAAATTCATATTTATCAAATAAGGATTGTTGTAACACTTGTTATGACATTATCATGGGTCAAGATCGGATTTTTCGCCTGCATATAGTTTATACATTTTCAAATAGTTTTCAAATATTGGCGCAATGACGGGCAGAAAATAGTTGCGCTGAAGAATTTAAAGTTTATCCGACATGAATATTTTTATGTTGAACTTAAAGAGGTACAGTACAGTACTTATATATGTCAATCATTAATATCTTTCTTGTTTTTAGTTAAAATGCAGTCTGCGTTTATAAACCAAAAGCACGTTACAATAACTTTATAATAAAATCAATGCCCTTGCTAACAAACCATAGATTTATGCGAAGTGATTAGGAACCACTGGTGTAAAAATGTGAACACACGTATAGTCCTATATACACACTGTAAAAACAGTGTTTAGCTCGGAGACACATTTCTAAGCGCCTGTTTTGTCTCATTTTTTCCGCGCGTTTAGCACCTAAGCACGTTTAGCCTATTAACATGTTACGCGCTTTGACGTGCTTGACGCCTTATAAATGTAGGGTGTATTTGTTTAACTTTAAGGTTGTAACGTTTTCAACTGTTTCAGTCACTCTCTCTCACACACACACGCGCGAAGTCACGGTCACCTTTAACTGCTATAGCTATCTCTATCTATAACAGGGTACCGTGAACTGTCAACATAGTTGATTCACACCATCATCTTTACAGCGGGACTTATTCATCCTTGTGTTAGCTGACCTTGCGAGGAAGTTAATTGGAATATATTTCTGAAAAACAAGTTAGGAAAATTCACTAGTTTACTAAAGACACGAAACAACTATCACTTTTACTTTAAAGCGAAGCATTTTTTTCTGTGACGAGCTTGAAAAGCTTAACATGTTGTTTAGCAGCTCCACGCGTTAAGGAATTCCACACCTATAGCAGCTCCATATGTTTAGCAGCCTCACGCGCTTAGCAGGGGAAGTGCTTAGCCAATGTGCTTAGCTTGTGATAGACTTGTTATAGAATCATATGCCGGTGAAGCTAAACACATAGCTAAACATGTAACAATGCCAACGTGTCTAGCTTTTTCTTCTGTGAAACGTTTGAAAAGCTATACGCGTTTAGCATTTACACAGATTTCTAAATGCGTATAGGTGTCTAACGTGTGTTGTTGTATTTAAATGCTAAACACTGTTTTTACAGTGCAAATGAGGTCTTTCGGTGTTTGGAACTGGTTACATGTATATTGATGCTTCACAAGCCGTGGAAACAAGTTGAAAAACACCAGGAAACTCATTAATCCTATGCATTCCGATCAGATTGATCTTTTTAATAAGATTGTGTTTACCAATGAATGATACCAAGATGTATGTTATATAATAATTTCAAGGTCAGTCTCTCCATAATCTACGTTAAGTCTTCTTATCCTTCGTTGCTGTATGTTTCACAACTGCATAATGCCGAGTGTTAATGGAAAGGGAGTTTATTGATCATCAGACCCAAACAATTGGTCAGAGTAAAAGAAGAAACCAAAAATCTTATGAGTAAGCCATTACGATACTTATCTCTGTGGGTGTTTGTATTAGAAAGGGGTAATGAGTGAAATATTAATGATTGGAACTATGACAATAGGTACATTAGTGGCATTTGGCTTATATTGAAACTGAGGGTTATTTGGTAATAGTCAATTGTTTCTTAAAAATTATGTAATGCTGTAGCAACGTGATTTACGATTTACTGGTCTTTCACATTTGTCTTTGTGGCAAATCATTCCAGGCATTTAGGCTACTCACAGGGCTGGTTTTCACTGATTTCAGTATTCCAGTCCATCATGAAAAGTTCCCTGTTGTCAGCAATTACCCCTGCCATACTAGCATTTTCACTTTGGCAGTCTGGAAATGTAACATGGGCACAGAGAGAAAAACAAATGTTTTTTGAGAAGTTGGAAACACCTGATGTGCGTTTCTCTGAGGGCAACATTGGCTCCATTTTTGTTCCGTCACAGCTTGAGTGTAGTATGCAATGTTTGCAGACAGCGGGATGCGTTGCTTTTAGTTTCTGTCGTGTTTCTTCCAACTTCAGTACAATGTGTAGATTGGAAAATCGGACGTCTACTTCCGACAACATGGAAGATTCAGAGGGATGCAGCATTTTTGTGTCGGTAGGGACAACATGTAAACAAGAAAAATGCTATTTTTTTCAAAGTTGCATGAATAGTTTTCTGTTTTAGAGTTTGATAAGTTAATCTTAAGAGGTGAACTGTGATTTCCGCAAGGTAATATAAAGAAAATATGTTTGATAACCTACCTTTAAAAACTTGATTTTATGATAAATATCAGCAATTTGGTTTGGTTGATTCAAAAACTTTTTAATTGATAGTTTGTCTTACAGTTGGATGCGTTAAATCAGAAAGGAGGGGTGACAGACACAGATCTACCATGTAAGATTCTTTTTTTTTATATCAAAGTATTTATGACTCTTTAATGTTTTTTTAATAAACTAAATATAGGATCGTCTTAAGGATGAAGACGGGATTTCCACAAACGTTTTTTATCTTAACGGACCCTGCAATTCATTTCACATCATATTATAGTATTAGATAACGGTTACTTAATGAGATATAGGTTTTTCTTAGCCTGATTATTATACCCTTAAAACTAAGAGCCCACTACACATACCCGCGTTTAGATAGCATAGTTCGTTAGCCCACTTTGGCATCAACAGAAGTTCAATTATCAAAGATATCCCAATTTACAAAACTACCACTTTAATGGCTAGTATACTGAAAGGCTTGTTGTCTGAAACGGAGCTGGCATTATAAAATCCTAGACACATTCTGTAAAATAATATTACAAAAATTCAATCTTTCTTGGGGTGGAGGTTCGAATGAATTTTGTCTACTTTTGTCTAAATCTTTTTGTCTAAATCTTTCTCAGAGACACACCCCGTTTTCAGCCTTAAGACAACATCTTATCAGATCTTTACCTAAAATAATGAAAATTAAGAAAGTTTTTCACTTTTGTATTATCAAAATCCCATATTTCTGAATTTGATGAAAATTACATTTTACAGCCCCCGATTATTACTGGGACTTGACCGGGAAATGTGCTGTGACGGATAACTGTACGTTGAATGAAGAGCCCCAGGCATGCAATACCAGCGTGGTGTATGCAAACATAGGCGATCGCCATGCAGAGACTAACCCTTCTACGGAGATATACTACTTGACTGAACGTATAGATAACTCAACAGGGGATTTCATATGCGCTATACAAATGCTCGGGAGTGACATGCAATACATTTCACTTGGAAATTTCAGTGGCCGCTGTCTATTGGACACCGATTTATGCACCAACGGTCTAACAGTTGGGTTTTGGACCCAGGTGAGCTGTATGTGAAATATCCTTTACAGTATGCATTTCGAAGCTATCACAAATTATGTAAGTGCAAAGTATCGTTGTCATTAATATTATACATTTATTCTTTTCTTTGAAATATTTACATAGTTAATGAATATATGCCTTATTTGCTGTGTGTTTTAATTTGCATGCTTGTAAAGTAGCAAGGCCGTGCTTTTTTTAACACATCTGATGCTAAATTCCTCTAATTTAAATGAACAGATAATGTGGGAAGATATGGTATCCCCAGAAACGTGGTATTTGCTTAGTTCTGGCGCTCAAGTTGTAGGAAAAGTTGGTATAGCCGTGTATGTGCAGCTTCAGGGAATATCTACGTAAGTTGAGAGAGAGAGAGAGAGAGAGAGAGAGAGAAGATGCTAAGACCTACTTGGTCCTATAAGTATATTTGTATAATCGAAACTGTATGCACTTCCTTCAATTTATAGTAAACGACAAAAAAAGTATACTACGTTGTTTTAGATACGTCATTGGCGCTATCCTGAAAGACTCTCAGAGTGGGTACACAGCCTCTGTAAACTACACCCAATACAGCGTTCCTGGCTGTTGGAGCGGGCAGCCTTCGTACTGTGACTGGATCCATATTGCATTCGCGTGGAACCCGACTGGGCAGTTGGACCTCTATGTCAATGGTCAAGTCGTGGACCAAGGATCCTCAAGTCCACAAAGCAACGCGGTCTCACCATATGTATACCCACGCATCAACAGCCGAAATGATGTAGAATCAAACTTAGGTAATGCAGCTTACAGTGATCTGAAAATATTTGAACAATTTCTGGATTCCAGTCTGATTAGAGAATTGTATGAGCGTTGATAGAGAATATGCAAACGTGCAGGTTTATTACATATAATTTGGCTAGTTCCAGTACAAATTTAGAACATGCTTTATACAAATGTACAATGTATGTATATTTCTGGTTCTTAATAATTTCAGTGCTGATATCATGAATTTGGTATCCTTGAAAATTGTCTCGAATGAGTAAACCGATTAGCGTTTTCACATATTGAATTGGCCATTTTCGACAATGGCATTGGTATTTTAACATTTAGACGAGTAAATCTTTATGTATCAAACTAAAATCGATACCCAAGGTGAAAGTTGTGGAATGCAGCAACAGAATGTTACAATTTCTTATTACTCAACATAATCTACGATTTTAAAGCTACTTCGCTTTTGGCTGAGGGTAAACCAATAAAATCCAACCTTTTCAGCTCATACGCCAATGCTGTAGATGTACTAATGTAAAAATGACATTAGGAATACTTCGCAACTGCAATAAGCAATAAACTTCATCGAGCAATGCCTTTGGTAGCATCTTAGTCATCTGCTTCATAGCAATCAGGATTCCACATATTTGAGCAACTTGCAAAGCAATTGAATTTTATTGTATTACACGGACGGACGGATGACACTTGTAAATATGTTGGATGATCGAAAGTAGACTTTTGACAACTTGAGCTTCATAAGTGGATCATATGAAACTGAGTAGGGCCTTTCGGTTAGATTTCCGGAAGTGTCGATCGTGTGGAATAATAATAATAACTTATTCTTCATTCTTTGAAGTATTGTGAAATACTTTGACATCTTACCCTTTATGTTGTAAAGCAGATGACTTACACTTTCGATAACTACAAATAACAATTAAAACAGAATCAAATGTGTAAAAGGATAGGGAGTTATTGAGTGGAAGTTAAATTCCTTTTAAGTGTCAACAACACTGAGAATAAAATGGGAGTCATTTGACTCTCTAGTCAGAGTCTAGCACCCCTTGACCCTCATGGAGTTAATTTGACTCCTATATAAGGGTCAAATTACCCCACTACCAGAGTCTTTAGACTCTCTTATCAGAGTCAATCACCGCCTGGCTCTCATGGAGTCAATCTGACTCTAAAATCAGAGTCAAACGGCGTGGAGAGAACAGTTTTCATCATCCTTTGTCAGTCTAAACATTACTTTATTGGCCATAGTTGGTTTTTATGCATGAACAAGTGGTTTTCTGTGTGTTTCTGCATACAGAACCCGTGCACTTATTACTGGCCCGGGCTTTCAGTTGCCCACACCCTTTATGTGATATGTTGGTATACAGGTCAGCAGGTTTTGTTTCTAGATTGTAGGTTTGATCCGCCAATGCATGTTACTGGGGAGGTATGCTCACTCATTGATATATATATATATATATATATATATATATATATATATATATATATATAATGCTGTCTATTACCAGATTTACAAACTAATTGTTATTGCTCTGCTAACACCGTATTCGACTGGATGGCCTTGTGGTTAGTTTGTCCGCCTTCGGAGCGGGAGGACGTGGGTTCGAACCCTATCGTGGACAAACCGGCCTGTAATACATGGTACCTGCTGTCTCCCCGCTTGGCATCGTTGTTGATGTCTTTTTTTATAATGAGCCAAGGAGTCAAAAATTCCTTAATATGGGGTCATGGTGACTCTTTTGTAGAGATAAATCAAGGGATGAAGGGATGTGTGAATGGAGTCAATTGTGACCCTCCTGTGGGGTCTGGGATGGCGTTACTCCATCGTAGTCAACTTGACTCCAATTGGGAGTTATTTTAGGCACCACTGCTGGACTCCAAGTTTGGAGTCACTTGGACTCCGGTTTTATTCTTAGTGAAGTGTAGATATTGTTCTCGAAGTAAGAAAGGATGGAACATTTCAAAGTCACATATAGTTGGATTTGATTGGTTTCAATAGATTTGCACGTTTCTAACGCGTGTAAAACTCATGCAAACTCGAGATGGACAAGGTCCAAGCATGAGTAATTCGGAAAATATTTTAAATATTTTATATTATAACCAAGTCTCTCTGAAATTCCTTAATTAGGAAATATTAAATAGCGTTTTGTAATATGAGAATGGAAAATTCTTTGGGAAAATAGAGTATAAATACTTGTAGATTCTGTGAAAAAGTGAGTCGGTGAATAAACGTTCCAAAGCTCCAAACTGTTGTCGTCATTCCTCACTATAACATTTGTAAATATTTCACAAGACAGCTACATTTTTTTTTCAATTAAAGCTCTGCATTTGACGTTCAACTATATTATTTTATTAGTTTTTATATCAATTGTACATAATGTCTGGGCAGTGATGTAGAAGACAGCTTACACAGAGGCAGAATTAAATACATCTGCCATTTCTAACAGATTGTCAGAATGATTAAAACATTAGCAATTGCTTTTTTTTATAAAGACGGTTAATTATCTTTGCAATTATCAAAGAAACGTTGTATATCGACATTCAGAAAAAATAATAGAAACGAAACAATGGCTCATCGCACAGTTATATATGAACTTCAAATAGAAAAAAATCATTCGGGAAATTATATTGTAGGTCAGTCAATCCCTTTGAAGAGAGCCTTCATAATCAATTTAGTAATACCTTTATCTTTTATTGATACATGGTATGTTTTCCGTGTTAACATGCTACTCTTTGCAATTAATCGCGAATCAGATATACGCAATTGTGCCCTTAGTCACAATACATGTATAGCCTCACTCCATACACGCGATGTAAACTTTGTGGGCGTAGAAAGACGTGTCGTCCTGATAAAACAGGTCGATACCAAATACTGAATTTCCGAACAACTACGGGAGTGCATTGTCACATCCAATGGCTTGAAATGGGGCTTACATGGTCAACGAGAGCGTTGTGTTCAATTTGCTTCTTTATTTAAAAAATCTATTGCTAATTTTTGTTTGTTGTTGTTGTTCTGGTTTAATTAGTGGTAGTAGTTGAAACCAGAATATAGAGTTCATCAGTGGCAAATACCATAATGTAAAACTTGCAATTATTGGAGACCGTGTTCATTAATATGGCAACAGCCAGATTATTTTAATGTCAAGCGCTTCGTTCGTATATTTTTATTATTCCTTTGGATACAAAGCTTTTTTCGAGATATTGACTTTTAAATATCGAGTCTTTTTATTTAAAAGCATAAAGTGATGTGTTAACAGGAAAAGATTGATTAGCACAAGGCAGCCAAATAACAAACTTACTTAGCGATGAGACAGATGAAACTAATATTATATGGTCTCCATCAATTCAATTATTTACTCAAAAAAGTGAAATACAATGCTCTGTCCCCCTTTTTAGTACTTGTTTTAGAGGCAGGAAATGGATGAAATGTGAGAGTAAGTGGAAATTTAAAAGCAAATATAGCAAACGCGATACAGAAGAATAATCGGTGTTGTCACAGAAAAGTATAAGCTCAAAAGTCTACGGCCCTACTTCTTCAACTACAGGTCGATAATTACAGTCCCTGCTGGTCTTTCGCAACGCCCCCTTTTGGGCTTTGACTATGTTATATGGTGAAGCAATTTTTCTGGGTATTCAGAAGTAACATTGGTTTATAACTACATCATTTATCAAGCATGATATCTGCTTCGTTGCCATTGATGCCTTTTGTCATTATGTCGCTTTGGCAATTTGGGACGGTGTATGGTGAACAGAGTCAAAACCAAATGCGGTTCAGGAAGTTTGAAACGCCTAATGTTCGTTTTCATAACGAAACCCTTGGTTACATTTCTGTTTCTTCACAAATTGAGTGTGGTGTTCGTTGCATGAAAATATCGGGATGCATTGCTTTCAGTTATTGCAGCGCAGCCTTGGATTTCAGTGCCTCCTGTAGGTTGGAGAATAGGTCAGCTGTCACCGCAAACGTAGAAAGTTCAGATGGATGTGATATTTTTCAGACGGTAAGGACATATATGTACGAGCGAAAAAAAAATGCTTTGTTCAAAATAAACATTTATCGTTTATTACACCAGAATTATTATAAAGGTTATTCGAAGATTTTAAAAATCGTGAAATTTTGAATAATAACTTTTACTTTTGAGTATTCTTAGTAATTGTAAAGGTTTGGAGTAATGCAGACTGATGTGTTGAATCCCCAGTGTACAAAACTATAAGTTTACATTACCTTTTAAACAACTTGTTATCAAAGGAAGACTATTAAGATGACAGTTTCTTCAATTTTAGGTGGACACGTCAAATCAAAATGAAGGGACGAGTAACGCGTTTCTACCGTGTGAGTATTCAGTGTGCTATTGTTATTGTGTAGTTGTTGTAAATATTCGAAATATTCCGACTCTGTAACATGTTTTTAATCACGGTCTTATCTTATCATTTAAGTACATGAAATGAAAACGTTTCTTGTACAAAAATGGCAGTTAAATGTGTTTTATTTTGTATCTGTTGTTGGCCACAGACCTTTTCTAAATTTAACAACTTTTGTAAAGACAACACCAGAAAAAAATAAATAAATAAAAGAAATAAAAGAAAATGGTAGCTAGCCAGTGTTTAATGTAATAAGATAATCCACTTTGGTGAAAAAGAGTAAATTGAAAGCAGTAATAGTATCTGGATCTGCTTCATTATAAAAATACAATTCAAATAATAAGCGCCAATGATAGGCGACTTCAAGTGTGTATTTTATCTTTTTTTTACCTAGCTCCTGATTATTACTGGGACTTAACTGGAAAATGTTCAGTCACTGACATTTGCACAGTGGGGACTGGGTCCAGTTCGTGCAGTACCAAAGTGGTGTACGCGAACATAGGAGATCGAAATGCAACTACTGAAATTGGGGTCTATCCTTTAACTCAGCGTACACACGTTGTGACGGGGAATTCAGTATGTGCTATTAGCACTGATGGGGTCGGGAATTATCACTATATCTCGCTTGGTGATTTTTCTGGTCGATGTCTGTTAGACACTGACCAATGCACCAACGGATTAACAGTCGGCTTTTGGACCCAGGTTTGTTGTATGCTATGTATTGTATAATCAGGTAACTTGAAAAAGAAGGTTCAAGCATTGAATCGAAAAATGAATATTCATTAACAAAAGTGTCTTAGATATTATTTATACTAATTATTAATTATTCATTTATTTATAATATAAATATTTATTCGTTTTACAAAGAGCCAAATGAAGACATTCTTGCCTTTGATTCAAAACCCATTGTTTGCCTTTGAAAACTGAGTCACATTTATCACTATTACTAGGTAAGTTGGGAAGACATGTCAGAATCATCGAAGTGGTATCTTTTAAGTTCTGGCGCACAGACTGCGGGAACAAGGGGTGTAGCTGTGTATGTGGAGCTTATAGTGTCCAAAATGTAAGTAGTATGTGTGTGTGTGTGTGTGTGTGTGCCTGTGTGTGTGTGTGTGTGTGTGAGAGAGAGAGAGAGAGAAAGAGAGACTCTGTAAAGTAATTAAAAATCTGAAGATAAAAAACAAAGGAATAATAATTGTCCATGTTGTTTTAGATACGTCATTGGCGCTATCTTGAAAGACTCTCAGAGTGGGTACTCAGTCTCTGTAAACTACACCCAATACAGCGTTCCTGGCTGTTGGAGCGGGCAGCCTTCGCACTGTGACTGGATCCATATTGCTTTCGCGTGGAACCCGACTGGACAGTTAGACCTCTATGTCAATGGTCAAGTCGTGGACCAAGGATCCTCAAGTCCACAAAGCAACGCTATTTCGGCAACTGTGCAACCATGCATTAACAGACCACATGATGGACATGCAAACTTTGGAAATGCGTCTTACAGTGATCTGAAAATTTTCGAACAATATCTCGATTCTGACCTTATTGGAAAACTTTATGTGTCCTAAGAATTGCCATTGGGATCCTGCAGAACCTTGCATAAATAAAACGATATAGTTAGAAATGTTGAGGAAAAAGTCAGATTTTTGTATGAACAAGTACATTTTTAATGTATCGATTTAATGAAGCAGCATTACAGATAAGACTTGAGATTAATTCCAAAAATGTTCCATTAGTGTCTTTTCTCAGACAACGCGACAATTTTTTTTTTCAATTGACAGTATTTAGACATCAAAACGCTGTCATGAGTGGAGCCTTTTCATGATACACTGTAAGACTTACTGAATTTATGACAACAAACAGTTTGCCACTCTTTTTATTCGCACGTGCAAATACAAAAGACTTTGTTTTAAAAATCGAACACGCTCAGGAAGTTATCCCTACCGTCGGCAGCTTTATTTCTTGATCAACAAAAGTCTGGTAAACATGTTATTGTAACTTGTTCACAAATACCTAGACCTATTAGATTGGATTCGTTAAAAAGTTCTGAGTTGAACTGAGACGTAAATGTAACCTACACATCACCATGTGCGTCGTGATAGGTGTATATCGATTTCTAAGATCGATAGTAAATTCGAAGCACAATGCCGCGTTTCCCCGATGCTTTTAAGGTATGGTTGACTGTGATAAGAGAACAAAAGACCAATCTCTGATTATCCTTATGTAAACTCTATTCTAGGCTTTTGAACCTCCCTGTCTCCAGCACTTTATTTGAGTTTGACCATTACACGAAGGTGGCTGTATTTGAAGGAAATAAAAGAACGAGACCCTTGTCAAACTGAATGGAGAGTAGAAATAGTATATTTTATAATCCAAGTGTTTGTTGGATAAGATCGCTATATTTTTACGCAACACAATGTTTACCAGGCTGTAACACAATGCATTTAGCACTGTTTTGAATAAGAAATTAAGCTACTGTTGGCGACAGTAATAACACCCATGCTACTCATCACGAATACTTTCTAAAACAATAATTACTTTTCTTTTCAAGCATTTCCCCCTCAACTGCTGTTTTACGATTAAGGAACGAAGTATTTTATGCTTTTTCCTATAACTTTCTCATTGCCATTTTCATATAACTGCTTAATTACATGAGTAAATATAGTGTGTTTATTACGTAGACCTTGTGATAGTTTTGTTGATTAACTACAGCACAATTCCATGATAGACGACATGCTTTGAAAATCTGTTTTGACACAGTTTACTGTGATGCTTACTTAATATCGTGCCCTGCTCCTGTTAATACTGTGTGTTTATTATTCTTTGTACAAAGTAACCCGCTTATCATAGCCCGCTTGTCAGTTGTTAATGTGTCGCTTTAACACGAAAATCGTTTTAAGTGGCGTGTGAGAATTTAGCCATAATTACTTTTTGCAAACGACCTTAGAAGGCTTAAATGTTAACAATTTACGTCTACCCATTTAAAGCGTGTTTTTTCACCTTATTTCATTATCCTTTCAGTTAGAGTAAAAATAAGGGGCTATAGCTTGATCACTGCAAATATAAATTAAGTCGACTACAATTAATTATGTTGGTGCATGTACATTTTCAAAATGACTATAACCTAACAAATACACCACAAGCGCAAACATATAAGTGTATAGAAAATAAGGAAAGTAACAATAACATTTACAATGATACGTATTGATATTAATTATATAATATGTTCACATTGAAAAAGACTACTAAAGGCTTGACGAAACAATTGCTTGTTAAATACAGAGTTGATTTAATCATAGGATTTCTTTTTCTTTTTCTGCTTTAAATGTTTAATAATATAGTATCTTTTGTATGAAAGTCTTCTGAAAGTTTTCGTCTCTGCATAATTAGTATGTTTTTGATGAACAGATGTCTTGTAGTGAAGTGTATTCTGACATTATATCTACTTCGAACTCGGCAAATCACTTCAAATAAAACATGTTATGACTGAAAGGGGTGTTTATCTTTTAAATTTTTCTCCAAATACTCTCCTACATAGCCCCAGTCGAGAACATATGTGGGAAATTTGGCACGAAATGTTTGTCAAAAGAAGATAAACTACCCTCTGATACCAGGGGCTTCCAAAAAAGTATACAAAATTAAAGTATCTGCGGTACAATTATTTTGTAACAGACAATTTAAGCGCACCCTGTGATTGGAGATTAAGGAACAACAATGCATTAAATCGACAAAATCCAGGATTTGGAAGCTTCTTGTTTGTTTTCGTTTTCATCTGGTTTGATCTTCTTTTTCTTCCTCTTTCTGGAATGAATCAATAAGGTAAATGTAAAGACTTTAATTCATAAGGAAGAACAGATAATCCATTTCATATGCAAGGTAAGCCATAAAATAACTGTGTTATCTTATATTTTAAACAAAATTACGCATTAGGGTGAAACGGAACACATCGTTTCCCAAAGATACAAATGTATAACAGAGACCAAGCCTAATAAACTTGCGGCTGTCGTTGGAAGGGGATATTCTGTCACTATTTTTGCATTACGTCCAATGGGAGGTACAACTGTGAAACTATCAATCTCATTTTCACGCAATGGCCATAGAACATACATACATACATACATACAGGCTCACAAATAACGTGTTCACTTGCGTTTGTATTTGCTCATCGCGTACCTCTTGTAAAGAGCGCCAAGCAGCAGACAACTACCACATGCTACGGCGGCTGAGGCGACAGTGCTCACAGCAATGACCCAATCTGGAACCTCTTTTGGAACAGTCCCTGCAAAGTAGACAGAAGGATTGCGTTTAGATAAAGGATACAGTTATGGACAGGTGACTATCTCTGCTGTAATGTTTTGTTAGTGACAATTTGGCCTGTGTCGTGTGAAATAACATGTAATAAGTATCATAAAAACAACTTTTTCAAATGTTAAAAAGAATTCCTTATTTGCCTAACTGAGTAGATGAGTGTCGGAATGCCATACGTGTGGGAATTTAATTTTTAAATGATTTTAATATTAAATTGTACGAGTATTTATTACAAGAACCATACCATTGTCACTCCTATGTTTATATCTTCCATTTTGGTTTGATGGGGCAGCAGAGGTGAATTCTGCAGAAAGCTGTAATCTTGGAACTTTTGTATTCCTCTCGACCGGTAGCAATTTAGAAGTTTGGGCCGAAGATAAGGTGGTAGACGGAAAGGACTTTTTCAGCAAATTTGCCTCCTCTGCATCTGTCTCTTGCTCAGTTGTGTGAGGAAGTCGAGTTGAAGTCCGAGACACAGTAACTGTTTTGTAGGAGGAGCTACTGTTGCAGATGACACTCCTGTGTTCTTCGAAGGCTTGGTTGACAAAAGACCGATAAAGTCTGGCGTTTTGTTCATGTCACTGATTAAGGGCTCTGAACGTGGGATGAACGTGGTAATGGGATGATTGACGTCTTCACTTCTTACAGTTGTGGGATGATTAAACGCCATTACACTTTCTGAGGCTGGAGTACCAAAATTCACTACATTGGTGGGTAGACTGGTTGATTCAGTGATTTTCTCTAATGGTTTTATGTCTGGCGTCATTGTCGTTGTTGGGCTTGGTATGCCGATGCTGTCTGACACAAAGGTCGAAGCTGTTGCATTGGACGGCATGGTAGCTGAGAGGGAAGCCACCATACCTATTGTGGAAGTGGACGGTGTGGTCACTATATTATCGATTGAACCTGTTGAAGGACTGGTGTTTGCGGTTATATCTGCAAAAAAATAAGCTTTCAAAATTCATTTTCACTGAAACAAAACTAAGGAGGTTTTTAGCGTTATGATTATTTTCGAAGAAAGAGTAATTATATGATTTGAAAATAATATTTACTTTGCCATAGGAGTATATGTAACACCGCTTTTTAAGTATCAACAATACACCTTGCAACTTACCAAACTGGCATATGTAAGGGTAGGTACAATGGCAACTTTCATCATTCCATTCGCTAATGTTGTCCTTGTGACGCGTCCACATCTCCATGCAAACCATTTTCAAGTCATTCTTTGCATTCGGTTCACCTGGCATCCAATTGTTATATGACACGTTTCCTCCTGCAGGTTGAAACAGATATCGCGTCTCTGTTTAAAAGATTTTGAATGATGTTTTCTGCGTAAAACAGATATACTAAATATACCAGGTTTTATGGTGTTATGTTAACCGTGTGAATAAATCGCTTTTCTTAGAATAAGACATGTTTTTAAAGAAAGTAGAAAACTCAACAGAAAAGAAACTTCTTACTGGTCTTTGACAAACTTTTTTTAATCGCGTCGAACTCTTTGCGTCGTTGCATTGAATGTAAAGATGAAATGTACCTCCAACCCATTTCCACATACGCGGGGCCATCTTATCCCACCAGCCACCAATCCAATAATTCCCCTCGTATCTTGACTTATCCGATCGAATCCTGCTTCTAATCTTTTCCATTGTGGGCAGGTCTTCAATCTTGGCAAGAATCCCATTATTTTTCTCGCAGTATATGCGTGAAGCATTCCATGTCCATCCTCTCTCAGTACACTGGTCGTTTCTCTTGTGATTTGGGCCAGCAGTTTGTCCCTCCAAGATGTAGCACCAAGACCCGGATTCAATGCATGGACTGTTTGTCTTTGCGTTATGACAGACGGTTGCGTTTTCACATTTTGCTTTATCTAAACGATACGATGTTGGTATTGTTTGACAAAACATCATACTGAACAATTCTGTATAAATAAACCCAAGTGACCGGAATTTTTAAAATATCGAAAATATCAAACTCCTTGACAAGTTCATGTATACTCACCGTATCTGCAAATAAAATTTGATTTTACACCGTTTTCACACGTGTTACTGCCCTGATTGTCGTTCCACGTGTAATTGAAGAAGTGGTCTGTCATATTCAAAATAGAAAAAAAAAGTTTTATTCGATGTACCACGATATTATGGGGCTATAGAATTAGCGGATATAAATTTAAAAGTTCTCGTATAATATGAATTTAGATAAGCTACTTATCACAATCAGTAATTGACGATTACCAATATTTCGTATCACAATAAACATCAAATCCAACAAAGCAAACCACATACAGTGTAAGATAAGATGTCTACTCTTTGTTTCTTACTATAACTAAGAAAAACTTCCCACTCCAATATATTAATAAACAGTCTTTTATTGAAACAGTGCTAGCTTTTATCGAGTTAAAGGCCTATCAAATACAAGTATATCGCCTTGTGTCGTCGATTTAAAGTGTTTTTTTACCGTCATATCCATAAAACAATTGAAGCTTATCCTCACTGTCTCCGTCATTATTGGGTTCTCCGGGTGCCCAGAAAAACCACTCTATCTCTTGTTCTACAAAGAACAATATTAACGTATATTTGTCGTAGTAGGCAAACTACTGTAGTTAGATGTTCTGATGCGAATGTTGCATAATGGGGTTAAAAGTATCGATTGGAAAAGTAAAGAATACACATTTAAACGGTTAGTCATTTTGATATGCACAAATCTCATTTCAGTGAAATTTCTGAAGGTGGGGAGCAAATTAATTCTCACAGCTTAATTTTAACGTTGAAATTTTAACACCATACCCCAGTAAGTTGGTTTTGCAACAATTTTACTTACTATCGGTCCAGAACCATCTTTTTCCAACGAATCCTCCTATCCACACGTGCTCTTTTGCCTGGACGACATTCTTCACCAAGAAGTTTTGCACTTCTTCTGTCTTGACACTGGCAAGTCTTCCGCCTAATTGGGAGCAGTTCTTTCTAGCTTCGAGCCAACTCTTCGCCTCTGGGTAAAGTTCATATTCTGTATTCTCGAATCGCAGCCGGGAAGAAGTCACTATGAGATCTGAAATTATTATTTCATTCAAATTTTAATATTTCAACATAATTCTTTTGCCATTTCTTGAAGTTACAATATTGCTAATAGTGTTGTTTCGATATACTTACATGAAAAATTATGCATGAAAAATAGCAAAAATAGTGAAAAACGCGCAGCCACTATTTTAGTCATCTCTGCAGAGCCGAAGATGTGTTGAAACGCAACAAAGATTTCACATAAAGAAGCGCAAATTATCAACATTTAAAGATTAAGAAGCTCTGCTGACAGCAGGCAGGATTTCACTAAGTAAATACAAACAGAGCATTTAAGACACGCTGATCTTTAAAGTTCTTTATCATGAACCAGGTATCTTCGCATAAAATTGATTTTCTTAATTAAATTTTCTAAACCGTGCTACATGTCCCTATCTAAAGGATTTTGAAATTACGAACTTAGTAATTATGAGTTAATACACCCGCCAAGGACGGGAGGACGGGAGGGAGCAAAGAAACAAATTCTTAGTTTTTTGTTAATCAATTATTAAAAAATTATGAGAATTGAGCTAATTAATAAATCAATATTAATTGATTGATAATGAGAATTGAGTTAACCAATTAATCAATCAATGATTGATATACATGTACTTAATTAGTTAATAAATAAAGAATAATGAGAACTGAGCTGCCTTAGAAATGTTAAAAACATCTCATGGACGGGTTTAACGAAGATTTTTGAGTAGGAGTTTTTTATTCATTTTTTTTTTCTTTTTGTAATAAAGATTTGGCACAAAAATCACGTAGGCCCTATAGGATATACATGTATTTTTAACGGGGTTCCATAAAACAATACGGGTCATTGTGTGATTCTGAGTGGTTAAAGGGATAATAACTCTTCCTATGAGATCTATATTTCACAATAAAAACATTGTGAACAACTCATAGAAATATAATATATTCTGTTTTACCACAAAAACGGCAGTTATAGCTATTATTCTGATATCTGAGCTTGTCTTTAGACCACGTGACCTCCATTGATGGCTATACTCTGTTATAATCTCTTAATTAAGAGTTTATAACAAAAAAAAAAAAAAAAAACTTTTTAGAAAAAAAACAGGGACTTACTTTGAATGTAAAAATGGATTCATTAACCATTAGTCAGTATGGGAAAATTGTTGTTTACTCCAGGAAAATTCATTTTTTGGCCATCAAGGATTGGACAATTTAGGAATATCATGCTTCCTTGTGTGTTCTACCAAATGCCTTGCCATATCCCCCTTAACTGTTTAATTATTCCTACACTTTTATAGCCGACACCATATATCTCTCAATACAGGGGCGGATCCAGGATTATTTGAAGGGGGTCCGCGGATGCAAAACCGTAGGGCCTATCCTTCAGCTACCCCTTATCGTCCCCACTCCGCCCCCATTTTGGTATTTTAGAGGCGAACGGTGCCATTTGGTACGATTAAGAACTATGATTCAGCTAGTCAAATTTCCCATTTCGAGAGGGGACCATTTTTTTCAGAAATCGAAGGTTGGGTCGGGCCCCCTTGACGNGTGTGTGTGTGTGTGTGTGTGTGTGTGTGTGAGAGAGAGAGAGAGAGAGAGAGAAAGAGAGACTCTGTAAAGTAATTAAAAATCTGAAGATAAAAAAACAAAGGAATAATAATTGCCCATGTTGTTTTAGATACGTCATTGGCGCTATCTTGAAAGACTCTCAGAGTGGGTACACAGCCTCTGTAAACTACACCCAATACAGCGTTCCTGGCTGTTGGAGCGGGCAGCCTTCACACTGTGACTGGATCCATATTGCATTCGCGTGGAACCCGACTGGACAGTTGGACCTCTATGTCAATGGTCAAATCGTGGACCAAGGATCCTCAAGTCCACAAAGCAACGCTGTTTCGGCAAGTGTGCAACCATGCATTAACAGACCACATGATGCACTTACAAACTTTGGAAATGCGTCTTACAGTGATCTGAAAATTTTCGAACAATATCTCGATTCTGACCTTATTGGAAAACTTTATGTGTCCTAAGAATTGCCATTGGGATCCTGCAGAACATTGCATAAATAAAACGATATAGTTAGAAATGTTGAGGAAAAAGTCAGATTTTCGTATGAACAAGTACATTTTTAATGTATCGATTTAATGAAGCAGCATTACAGGTAAGACTTGAGATTAATTCCAAAAATTTCCCATTAGTGTCTTTTCTCAGACAACGCGACAATTTTTTTCAATTGACAGTATTTAGACATCAAAACGCTGTCATGAGTGGAGCCTTTTCATGATACACTGTAAGACTTACTGAATTTATGACAACAAACAGTTTGCCACTCTTTTTATTCGCACGTGCAAATACAAAAGACTTTGTTTTAAAAATCGAACACGCTCAGGAAGTTATCCCTACCGTCGGCAGCTTTATTTCTTGATCAACAAAAGTCTGGTAAACATGTTATTGTAACTTGTTCACAAATACCTAGACCTATTAGATTGGATTCGTTAAAAAGTTCTGAGTTGAACTGAGACGTAAATGTAACCTGCACATCACCATGTGCGTCGTGATAGGTGTATATCGATTTCTAAGATCGATAGTAAATTCGAAGCACAATGCCGCGTTTCCCCGATGCTTTTAAGGTATGGTTGACTGTGATAAGAGAACAAAAGACCAATCTCTGATTATCCTTATGTAAACTCTATTCTAGGCTTTTGAACCTCCCTGTCTCCAGCACTTTATTTGAGTTTGACCATTACACGAAGGTGGCTGTATTTGAAGGAAATAAAAGAACGAGACCCTTGTCAAACTGAATGGAGAGTAGAAATAGTATATTTTATAATCCAAGTGTTTGTTGGATAAGATCGCTATATTTTTACGTAACACAATGTTTACCAGGCTGTAACACAATGTTTTGAATAAGAAATTAGGCTACTGTTGGCGACAGTAATAACACCCATGCTACTCATCACGAATACTTTCTAAAACAATAATTACTTTTCTTTTCAAGCATTTCCCCCTCAATTGCTGTTTTATGATTAAGGAAGAATTTTATGAAGTATTTTATGCTTTTTCCTATAACTTTCTCATTGCCATTTTCATATAACTGCTTAATTGCATGAGTAAATATAGTGTGTTTATTACGTAGACCTTGTGATAGTTTTGTTGATTAGACTACAGCACAATTCCATGATAGACGACATGCTTTGAAAATCTGTTTTGACACAGTTTACTGTGATGCTTACTTAATATCGTGCCCTGCTCCTGTTAATACAGTATGTGTTCATTATTCTTTGTACAAATAACTCGCTTATCATAGCCCGCTTGTCAGTTGTTTATGTGTCGCTTTATCACGAAAATCGTTTTAAGTGGCGTGTGAGATTTTAGCCATAATTACTTTTTGCAAACGACCTTAGAAGGCTTAAATGTTAACAATTTACGTCTGCCCATTTAAAACGTGTTTTTTCACCTAATTTCATTATCCTTTCAGTTAGAGTAAATATAAGGGGCTATAGCTTGATCACTGCAAATATACAATTAATTATGTTGGTACATGTACATTTTCAGAATGACTATAACCTAACAAATACACCACAAGCGCAAACATATAAGTGTATAGAAAATAAGGAAAGTAACAATAACATTTACAATGATACGTAATGATATTAATTATATAATATGTTCGCATTGAAAAAAGACTACTAAAGGCTTGACGAAACAATTGCTTGTTAAATACAGAGTTGATTTAATCATAGGATTTCTTTTTCTTTTTCTGCTTTAAATGTTTAATAATATAGTATCTTTTGTATGAAAGTCTCCTGAAAGTTTTCGTCTCTGCATAATTAGTATGTTTTTGATGAACAGATGTCTTGTAGTGAAGTGTATTCTGACATTTTATCTACTTCGAACTCGGCAAATTACTGCAAATAAAACATGTTATGACTGAAAGGGGTGTTTATCTTTTAAATTATTCTCCAAATACTCCCCTACATATCCCCAGTCGAGATAATATGTGGGGAATTTGGCAAAATGTTTGTCAAAAGAAGATAAACTACCCTCTGATACCAGGGGCTTCCAAAAAAGTATACAAAATTAAAGTATCTGCGGTACAATTATTTTGTAACAGACAATTTAAGCGCACCCTGTGATTGGAGATTAAGGAACAACGATGCATTAAATCGACAAAATCCAGGATTTGGAAGCTTCTTGTTTGTTTTCGTTTTCATCTGGTTTGATCTTCTTTTTCTTCCTCTTTCTGGAATGAATCAATATGGTAAATGTAAACACTTTAATTCACAAAGAAGAACAGATAATCCATTTAAGATGCAAGGTAAGCCATAAAATAACTGTGTTATCTGATATTCTAAACAAAATTACGCATTAGGGTGAAACGGAACACATCGTTTCCCAAAGATACACATGTATACCAGAGACCAGGCCTAATAAACTTGCGGCTGTTGTTGGGTCGTTGAAAGGAGATATTCTGTCATTATTTTTTGCATTACGTCCAATGGGAGGTACAAATGTGAAACTATCAATCTCATTTTCACGCAATGGCCATAGAACATACATACAGGCCCACAAATGACGTGTTCACTTGCTTTGGTATTTTCTCATCGCGTACCTCTTGTAAAGAGCGCCAAGCAGCAGACAACTACCACATGCTACGGCGGCTGAGGCGACAGTGCTCACAGCAATGACCCAATCTGGAACCTCTTTTGGAACAGTCCCTGAAAAGTAGGCAGAAGAATTGCGTTTAGATAGAGGATACAGTTATGGACAGGTGACAGGTGACTCTCTGCTGTAATGTTTTGTTAGGGACAATTTGGCCTGTGTCGTGTGAAATAACATGCAATAAGTATCATAAAAACAACTTTTACATTGTTAATAAGAATGCCTTATTTGCCTAACTGAGTAGATGAGTGTCGGAATGCCATACGTACCGGAATTTAATTTTTAAATAATTTTTAAATTAAATTGTAAGAGTATTTATTACAAGAACTATACCATTGTCACTCCTATGTTTATATCTTCCATTTTGGTTTGATGGGGCAACAGAGGTGAATTCTTCAGAAAGCTGTAATCTTGGAACTTTTGTATTCCTCTCCTCCGGTAGCAATTTAGAAGTTTGGGCCGAAGATAAGGTGGTAGACTGTAAGGATTTATTCGGCAAATTTGCCTGCTCTGCATCTGTCTCTTGCTCAGTTGGGTGAGGAAGTCGAGTTGAAGTCTGAGACACAGCAACCGTTTTGTACGGAGGAGCAGATGACACTCTTGTGTTCTTCGAAGGGTTGTTTGATAAAAGACCGGCAAAATCTGGCGTTTTATTCATGTCACTGATGAACGGGTCTGACCGTGTCACTGTCGCCGCACCCTTGGTAATGGGATGACTGACGTCTTCACGTCTTACAGTTGTGGTATGTTTAAACGCCATTACACTTTCTGAAGCTGGAGTACCAAAACTCACTACATCGGTGGGCAGACTGGTTGATTCAGCGATTTTCTCTAATGGTCTTATGTCTGGCGTCATTGCCGTTTTTGGGTTGGATATGTCGATGCTCTTTGACTCAAAGGTCGAAGTTGTTGCATTGAACGGCATGGTAGCCAAGAGGGTAGGCACCATACCTGTTGTGGACGTGGACGGTGTGGTCACTATACTGTCGATTGAACCCGTTGAAGGACTCGTGTATGTGGTTATATCTGAAAAATAAAACAGCTTTCAAAATTAATTTTTACTGAAACAAAACTAGAAGGTTTTTAGCGCTGTGAATATTTTCGAAAAAAAGAGTTTGAATACGGTTTGAAAATAATATTTACTTTGGCATAGGAGTTTATGTAACACCGCTTTTTTAAGTATCAACAATACACCTTGCAACTTACCAAACTGGCAAATGTAAGGGTAGGTATTTTGGCAATTTTCATCATTCCATTCGCTAATGTTGTCTATGCGACGTGTCCACATCTCCATGCAAACCATTTTTAAGTCACTGTTTTCTTTTGGTTCACCTGACTTCCAATTAGTGTATGACACGTTGCCGCCTGTGGGTAAAAATGGATATCGTGTCTACGTTTAATCGACTTTGAATAATGATTTTTGTGTAAAACAGATATACCGAATATACCAGTGAGACATTTTCATAAGATTTTCTGTTAACCGTGTTGATAAAACACTTAGAAGCAGACAGTTATTAAACAAGGGTACAAAACTCGAGTGAAAGATCAACTTTTTGTTGGTCTTTTACACTATTTTTCTTAGGCTTCATTCACATGCAATGTCTATTTTCTAAATTCTGTTTTCTATTCGCGCTATCTTATGATCACGGTCTGTGCCCTGAATATCCCGCCGCGTAATTACTGGCAGCGCGAGCCAGTTACTTATAGTAACTTATAGTAACTGACTCGCGCTGCCAGTAATTACGCGGCGGGATATTCAGTGCACAGACCGTGATCATAAGATAGCGCGAATAGAAAATAGAATTTAGAAAATAGACATTGCATGTGAACGAAGCCTTATAGTCGTTACTATTTTATAGATATATTGAACGTAAAGATGAATTGTACCTCCAACCCATTTCCAAATACGCTGAGCATCCCTATCCCACATGCCACCAATCCAATAGTTCCCCTCGTATCTTGACTTATCTGATTGAATTCTGCTTCTTATCTTTTCCATCGTCGGCAGGTCCTCAATCTTGGCAAGAATTCCATTATTTTTCTGGCAGTACATGCGTGAAGCATCCCATGTCCATCCTCTCTCAGTGCACTGGTCGTTTCTCTTGTGATTCGGGCCAGCAATTTGCCCCTCCAAGATGTAGCACCAAGACCCGGATTCAATGCATGGATGGTTAGTCTTGGAGTTATGGCAGACTGTTGCGTTTTTACAGTTTGTTTTATCTAAAGAGACGATGTTTGCACGGTTTGAAAATACACCATACTAAAGATTACTGCAGGAATAAGCCCGCAAAAGTGGACAAATTGTAGCAGGTAACCATGGGAGACTATGGCAAAAATTAGAAAATGTCGAAAACAGACTTGATTGTATTCAAACACCAACAGAAGTAAACGTATAGGCTTACATTTATACTCACCATATCTGCAAATGAATTTTGATTTAACGCCGAGTTCACATTTTTTACTGCCATCATTATCGTTCCACGTGTAATTGAAGAGGTGACCTGCCATTATTGAAAGTACATACATGTTTGTTTCATCCGACAAACAAATTATTCATGATTGAAGCACAATTATAAATGAAGAAGGGTATTAGGAAAAGATATCGCATCACATGAATTAAGATAACAATTACATATCGCAATCAGTAAGTTTTACGTCACAATATGCCGCGTTACAACTAACGTCATTTAAAGTCCAAAGAATCAAAGCACACATAATATTTATATCATTATATTTATCATTTCCTACTACAAAAAATTACCCCTCCTCCAATACATCAATAAACAGTTTTATTCAATCAAATCAAGTAGGTGTATGTCGCCTCGTGTCATAGATAAGCACAGTGTATTTTACCGTCATATCCATAAAACAATTGGAGTCTATCCTCCTTGTCTCCATTATTATTGGGTTCTCCGGGCGCCCAGAAAAACCACTCTATCTCTTGCTCTACAAAGAACAATGTTGACGTATATTTGTCGTAGTAGGCAAACTATGTAAATGTTCTGAAGCAAATGTTGCATAATGGGGTCAAAATTATCGATTTGAAAAGTACAGAATGCACATTTAAACGGTTAGTCACTCTGATATGCTCAAATCTCATTTCAGGGAAATTTCTGAAAGTGGGAAGCAATTAATTTCCACAGCTTTATTTTAACGTTGAAATTTTAACACCATACCCCAACCATTGCAACCATTTCACTTACTATCAGTCCAGAACCATCTTTTTCCAACAAACCCTCCTATCCACACGTGCTCCTTTGCCTGGATGACATTCTTCACCAAGAAGTTTTGCACTTCTTCTGTCTTGACACTGGCAAGTCTTCCGCCTAATTGGGAGCAAGTCTTTCTACCTTCGAGCCAACTCTTCGCTTCTGGGTAAAGTTCATATTCTGTGTTCTCGAATCGCAGCCGGGAAGAAGTCACTATGAAATCTGAAATTATTATTTCATTCAAATTTAAATATTTCAACATAATTCTTTTGCCATTTCTTGGAGTTGCAATATTGCTAATAGTGCTGTTTCGATATACTCACGGAAAAAAGTATGCATGAAAAGTAGCAAAAATGGTGAAAAACGTGCAGCCACTATTTTAGTCATCTCTGCAGAGCCGAAGATGTGTTGAAACGAAACAAAGATTTCACATAAAGAAGCGCAAATTATCAACATTTAAAGATTAAGAAGCCCTGCTGACAGCAGGCGGGATTTCACTAAGTAAATAAAAACAGAGCATTTAAGACACGCTGATCTTTAAAGTTCTTTATCATGAACCAGGTATCTTCGCATAAAATTGATTTTCTAAATTAAATTTTCTAAACCGTGCTACATGTCCCTATCTAAAGGATTTTGAAATTACAATTTACAAATCAGTAAGTTAATGGCGTAGTTTAAATTACATGTGTCTTAAATAGAGGGGGAACAATCAGAATGATGAAAATTATCTGAGGTTATTAAGTGGTCTGGTAAATCCAGTACCTTTCTATCATCCTAATATCCTCATAGATCAATTGTACGCAACCCATTCATTGCCAAGGAAACCTTATATTGCGCACTGCATAACATTAACAGGACCTATCTAGATACATGTACGTATGTCTGTGACTGTGTGCGGTTTAATTTTATTATTTTCTACTTAATATCAAGTCAATAGAAAAAAGGTATACTACACACGTTTGATAATCTAAAATTATATTTTTGTGACTAAATATCCTGCAAAGCTACTTTTCTTTCCTAATTCAGACTTTAAAAATGATGACCCCCCCAATTAAAAGTTTACAGGATATTGATATTTCTTTCTTAAAAGCAGGGAAGACATGGCGGTCTAAATGAACCAGAATTCGTTTAAAAAGAAGTAATTTTGAGTAATTAACCCCGCCAAGGAGCCTATTAGTGTTTAATTCCGCTGGCCTGTATTTAGCAACAGTATGGAAAAGGTTGTGGACGGATTTTGATAAAATTTTCAGAAACTGACGGGAGGGGGCCAAGTAACAAATTATTAGTTTTTTGTGGTGATTTTAAATTAGTTAGTCAATTAATTATTAATAAATTATGAGAATTGAGCTAATTAATAAATCAATATTAATTAATTGATAATGAGAATTGAGTTAATCAATTTATCAATATTAATTAATTGATAACGATAATTGAGTTAATCAATTAATCAATCAATAATTAGTTAATAGATAAATAATAGGGGAGACAGGTGCCAGTTGGACCCCGGGGTAAGTTACCCCCCCCCCC